TAGGGCCGTATCGTTTGCATATCGTTACGGTAATTATTGTCCCCGCGGTGTAATGGCCGGTGTAAGACCGCGCCAGTTTGCCCTCGTGACAGATGGACAGACAGTCTGTCTGTCTGTCTGTCGTCTGTCTGTCTGTCTGTCCGTCCGTCCGTCTGTCTGCCAGTCCGACCGACCGGCCCGTCCGTCGGCGAGACTGTCATCATTTACGCACTCCGACCGGCCTAATGCCCCCGTCGGAGACTCGGCCTGCTCTGCTCCGCCTGCCCAGAGTCCCTGGCTGCCCCGCTTGGACCGGAACGGCACGGCAACTCCTTGAATAATTCGGCCCACTGTTCGATCGAGGCCCTGCTGCCGCTGCCGCCGCTGCCGCCGCGGCGAGGACCCGGGGAGGACCATCAAGCGGTCCAACCGAAGCCCTCCGGTCCCCTCCGGTCCCCTCGGCGGGCGCAGCGAGGCAGTCGGGGGACTATTACTATTGAGGAGGTGAGGCCGTCTACAAAGGCGAGAGGGCGTATTTGTGTGGCGTGCAGGGAGGGGGAGGGGGAGGGGGTGTGGCAGCAGGTAGGTGTCACAGGCAGGGGGCCGCATCGTCACGCAGCGGTGCGCGGCGCCGCAACGCGTCCTCGGCACGCGTGTTTTCGAACGCCTGCGGAGGTGCGGGTAGGCAAGCCCGCCACGCAGCCGTGTTCGACGGGACTGCCTACCTCACAGGCGGTCCCCTTAACGCCTGCGAAGATCCGGGTAGGCGAGCCCGCCACACAGTCGTGTTCGACGGGACTGCCTACCCCACAGGCGGTGTGTTGGCGGCAAAAAAAAACTGCAGCGCGCCGCTGTTCTCCGCGGCGAGGAGTCTTGTTAGCGGCGCGGCCGGAGATGCAGCGTCAGCAAAAAGCATAAAAGTGGGTGGGGGGAGGGGAGGGTGTCTGTCGTGTGGGTGTAACGAGTCGGCCGCCGGGCACATCATTTTCGTGTCCATGCACCGCCTCCCTCCGCCACCGCCAGGGGGTGGCAGGGGGCGGGCTCGCCGCGACGCCGTGACGCCTGTCGCGCCGCGTGGCACCCACCGAGTGTCGCGGCTGAGCACATGCTGCAGGGCCTAATCATCTTAGCGCAATGTGCTCCGACCGCCGTCACGCACGCCAGCCCGCGCCAGCCCCTACAAGCAATCCGTCGTCCTCGACAGACTCGACAACAACTTAGTTGCACTGCCTGCTGCCTTAAGCTTATCATTTTCGACGGCGTGGCTGAAAACGTTACCTTGTCTCCATCCGACGTCGAGAACTGAAACAGTGCGTGTCTATATAGAGGCACTTTTGACTATTTTCATTTTAAACAGGCACGTTCGTGCGTATTCAAATTTGTGACACAGCCGAGATGTCTCTGCGGGATTGGCCTCTATTCTCCATGGGCCCCAGTGCGCCGCGCTGCGCAGTGTGCGCACTCCGCCCCGGTGGCTCCGGCTCCCTCCAGCTTGTCCACGCGTCGCCCCGCGCCGCGCCCCGGGCGTCTTCCTCCCCCCCCCCTTCCTTCTTTTTGTCCTCCACCCGCCGTAATAAATAACACAATTGAAACTCTGGCCCGGACGCTCCAATGCAGGCCGCACCAGCTCAGGCGGCAGGCAGGCAGGCGGGCTAGCGCTCCGTCTCTTTGTACACTGCATTAGTCATAGCCTTTCCTTCGCGGACACCGCGGCAGTTGGGGGAGGGGGGGGGCAGCACCCCGCACCGTCTAGGTCAAGGCGGCAGCGCGGGGGCGGCGTGCGGGCGGGAGGTGGGCCGGGCCGCCTGCTGGTTTTTGCGACTTGCGAACTTGAAACTCCCACACAGACACACACAGGGCGCACGCACCGACACAGACAGACGCACGCACGCGCAGCCCCCCCGGCCTCTCCCCCACACACTCACACATGATTTGTAAATGTGAAGGGCACCTCCTGCAAAAGTTAAAGTGAAGAGGATCATCATGGTGTTGCTCGTCTCTTCGGTGGAATTCGGCGTGGCCGAGGCTGAGTGAAATGCAAAACGGGCAGGCATGGCTCTCTGTCTCTCTCGCACTCGTAGAGCGTCCCCTATCGGTGCGAGAGAGACAAACGACGGAACGCTGTTCGAACGGAATCAGCCTGCAGGTGCCACCTGCGGCGCTCCACCAGCCGCAAGGACTGCATGGGGGCGCCGCTGGGGTCGGCGGGGCATCTTCGGCGCGTCGCGTTGTTGTCCTGGCGCCTAATCCCTCGTCTGTCTCCGTCTCTGTCGCACTCGCGGCGCGCCCCGTCGGGGTGCGAGAGAGAGGCCCGCCTTATTACCGGCGCCATTCCTTTGAGCGGGACACGAATTATACGTGGCGCTCCGCCGCTCCGCTCCACCCTTTCAGCGGCGAGGCTGCGGGGGCCACGCAACCCGCACGCCACCAGACGCGCCGCGGAACGCCCCGCCCCGCCCCGCCCCGCCCTATTCAACGGCGCAAAATTGGCACGGCCCGCCAATGGGCGTGTTGTACCCCGTCGGTGCGGTGCGCGGTGCGGCGAGGCACGCTCCGTTGGCCACGACCATCCGACCCAGTTTGGTGTCGGAAGCAATATTCGCGCCCCTCGCCCTGCTGCCGCTGCTGCTTCTCGCCGTGATTCAGTCAGTTTCTTTCCGTCTCTCGCTGCGGCTTGGCGGTCGGTGCTAATTCGCCCGATTTGGCCGTGACGGGCCGGGGCGGGGGGGGGGGGGGGTGCTCTCCGGCCCGACGCCCCCACCTGCCAGCCCGACTCTGACGACGCCCCGCCCCGCCCCGCCTCGCGCTATGTTCTGGATAAATTATGGAGCCCGCTGATGAGTTCACAGCCCACACTGCGAGCGGGCGGAAGGGTGGGGGCATATTGTTGGCGCGGGGCGGGGGGCGGTGGTGTGGTGTGGGCGGTGTGGGTCGCGGGATGAGCATTGTTAAACCAACTTTAAACTCGCCGCCGCGGTGGTGCGGTGCTCTGCGGCGCTGCGGTGCGGGGGTGGAGTTAGACTGCTCGAGCCAAAGAAGGCGAAAAGTCGAGGCGTTTCAAATGCTGCCCGCCCCGCCGAGTGCTAGTACTGCGCTCTGCAGCTCGGCGCTAAGCGGTGCTTCCGCCGCCGTCTCCAGGGGCTGGCGGGGCTGGCGGCCCGTACCGATGTTTCATTGTCGGGGTGCTCCGCGATGTGGTGCCGCGCGGCCGCACAGTGGGCCAGAAGACCGGTGGAGGCGGCCGAAACTCTAGACGCGTTTTGAGCTCCAGAGTCGCTAAATGGGACTCGAACCGAACGTGTGACCCCACCAATGGATTACATGTTCGGTTCGAGTCCCACTTAGCGACTCTGGTGCTCAAAACGCGTCTAGAGTTTTGGCCGCCTCCACCGGTCTTCTGGCCCACTGTGCCACGCCCCGCCGCGTGAAAGGAAAGGCGAGGACGAAAGACGGCCGAACAAGGCGCGGCGAAGTCCCCCAGCCACGCCACGCCGCACCACACCGCACTAACCACTTTAGCGACACTTGTCCGGATTCCTCGCAGGCCAAGCAAGGCGGGGTTGTCTGGTTAACAGACTTTGGGAATCTCACACACTGCCACACTCAATGCTCTCGACTCCCCCGTCGGGCCGCCCCACTGCCCTACCGCAAGCAGCGCCAGCAGCGGCCGCCCTCAAACCCAACAACAGGCTGGCTGGCTGGCTTCACGCGTGGCCAGCGCGCAGTGCGTCAAAACAGAGGCAGTGCATCAAAGGCGGGGCGAGCCCGCCGACCACTTCACACCGGGCAGTGCAGTGGGGAGGCTGGCTACAGTGTGCTGCCCAGCAGTCCGATCCCGCTGCGCGCACGCGTCGCTCCGTCTCTCTCGCTCCCCTACGGCACGCTCCTCGAGTGCGAGAGAGACAGAGCGAAGGAGAAAATGAAGGACAACAAAAAAGAGGCAAGAGAAAATTCATGCCTGAATGAGAAACATTTGACTGCAGTTTGATCCCAGTTTGGAACAGGCAGCATGTTCTGCGGCGGAAGGAACTCGGACAAAGCGTCCGCGTTGCACGGCTGCACGGCGCCCACTCCACTGTTGTTGTTTACTCTTTTCCGGAAGGAGGGGCCCCTTAAGGCCCCCCGCCGGAATAGGCACCCCTGGAGAGGGAGAAGAGAGAGTGCGGGCGAAACAGAAACAGATCGGTGATCACCGTAATGGCGCAATAAAAGTGTCTCCACTTATTTATGGACCAACAACTCCAGCCCCTCTCTCCTCCCCTTCCCACCCCCTTCCCCCTCCACCGCTCTCGTCAAGTGTTTTCGGCTTCGCCGGGCGAGTCCCGGTGGTCCCGGTGCGCCGTGCCCGGCCCTGGCCTGGCCATGCCTCATTCGTGCCGACCAAGAGTCACGGCGACCGCCGCGCAGCCCCCCCCCCCCCCCCCCCAGTGCAGTAGCAGTGTAGTGGCAGTGAAGAAGCAGTGTAGTAGCAGTGAGGTAGCAGTGTCGAACGCGCATTCCCGCGCGGGCCCGGGGGCGGCCGGGGTTTGAGGACTGTGTCGACGGCCGGATCTGGAACTCGGCAACACGGCCGAGAGGGGTGGCGCTGTGCTGGCCTGCTGGCGGGGACAGATTCCTCAGCCGCTGCTCCAGTCCACGCGGAGTGCCGACGTCTGTGCACAGACGTTGTCGAGTTGTAATTAGCTTGCTGTGCGCGGTACGTCCGCCACGCACATGCACGCACGCACACACACACACACACACACACACTCACACACAGAGAGGCGGCGGCGGGGCCCGTCCCACTCACAGGGGTGTTGGTCTAGGCCCGGCCGTGTTATTGCAGTCCGCCGGGACCGAGGCGGACAAGGCCGTGCCCGTGCCTACGGCCGTGCTACTTCCGGAGGCAGACACCGGAACACGCTTCCCCCGCTTGGGGTAGCTTTGGGGCGTCTGGCTAGTGCTTTTCAAACAGAAACAGAGAGTCTACACTGGAAGTGAAAATCAAGGCGACACAGGGCACATCAGACATTTTGAAAAGGTTCAAGTTACACCATGGTTTATTCCTTTTTTAGTGTTGTTATACAAAGCAGGGGCTATTCATCTAGCTCGGTGAGAACACTGCGATGCAAATATCATTAAAGGCACGACGTCTACATTAATTTTACTATCACATCAAAGTCACGACAACAATTACAGTAAATACATTTCATTATTCTTTGTTCGGCTGGAAAAGAGAGCTACCCGCATGGTTCCAACGTGCATAACGAAATTCAATTTTACTTTCCGTGCCGGTTTGGCACTTGACATAAACTAGCTAACAGCGCAATTCGCTTAAGCGGAAAATAAGGTATGTAAACCTTAAAATACACACAACATTAAAAATTGACGAACCCCCGCAGTGTGGTAGAGCACAGCCATTGAACCCCATTCGATGAGTAAATCTCTCAAAGTAAAAAAATACCAACTGCGGCGATCCACCCCAGCACATACGACCATCACATTCCACACAAGCCACACACGCGAAAACGTCTGCGCTAAAGCGTCAAAAATGAAGTTCAAAACAACAACGTCATCGTATACAAACGAAAAGAATCGCGAACAAAGCAGCGCCTCATTTCGCCTCATGAAATCTATAATGGCGGCGCTACCTACAGAGCCGTCGCAAAATGCTTTGAGCTTCGACACAGCGGCCGTGAGGCACAAAAAAATGAAAAATTGTAAAAACAACGTCGACGGCGCGACGCGGTGAGAATGATTTTATTTTGTTTGTGTGTTGGGACTGCCGAGTGCTGTCTACTTGGGCTGCAGCAGCTTGTCCAGGTCCTCGGGGCTGGTGACGGGCAGCGAGCAGGCGTGGTGCTTGCACACGTAGGCGGCGGCGCGCCCGCCCTGGGGCCTTAGCCGCCGGAACACCTCGGACTTGCGGTACAGCACGGACTCCAGGTTGCCGTCGGCCAGCGCCAGCACCCGGCCGGGCAGCAGCCGCCTGCGCGCCGTGGCCACCAGGGCCTCCGTGTCGGGGTCCGACTTCTGCCCGGTCACGAACACCTGCAAGGGGAGGGAGGGGACTGTCAAGGAACGAAAGCGGGTCAAAACAACACCAATTTGACGGCTGTGCGTCGGTGACTTACCTGCGTGTGCGAGTCGTGGTACAGCATGAGCGCGGCGGCCAGCCCCGGCAGGGCGTGCGGCAGGCTGGTCAGCCTGGAGGTGAAGATGGCCAGCAGGCGCTCGGCGCGCTCGCGGTGTGCCGGCTGCTCCAGCAGCGCGGACAGCCGCAGCAAGTTCCAGGTGGACACCGTGTTGCCGCTGGGCTCGGCGCCGTCCTGGTCTGCAGAGCAAGGAAGTGCGGTAAGTCATCTGCTCTTGTCGACGGGGCGGGGTGGGGAATTTCAGGGCGCAGCAGGCGCCGGCGGCGGTTCAAGTTCGGACCCTGCTTCGCCGCGCCCGGGGCCAGCACCGCCAGCACCGAGTCCTCCACGATGGACTCGCCTCCCACCGCGCCGACCGATTACCAACAGCCCCGTCGTCGCCTCCCTCGCGAACCCTCATGCTGTTTTTGTTGTTGTTTTTGCCTCTCCAGCCGCGGGCAGCCCGACCCGGCCGCGGCCCCGGGCGGAGGCTGGCGAAGGCTGGCGAAGGGTAGGAGGGCCTGGAATCGGATCAATCGTCCGGGCGGGGCAACGGAGCAGCGGAGCAGCGGGCCGGGGCAGCGCGACGGGAACACGTCCCAAACAACAAGTGGCTGTTGAACTGGCTGCGCTGCGGCCAGTTGAACCCCGGGGGGCCCAAGCCTGGCCCAAGGCTTGCCCAAGGCTGGCCCAAGGGCGCATGCTGCTGGCGCTGGCAGTGGCGTGACGCGGCGAGTGACTGGGGACCGCTTGGGGCAAGGGGAGGGGGGGGGAGGTACGTGCGCGCCGCACAAGAGGCACACGAGCAGCGAGTCCACGCTCAAAGCACCGCTCGCCGCCGCGTGCCGCGTGGACGGCGAATCAGGTGACCGAGTGGAGACGACGGCGAGGACGGCCAGGAGGAAACAAGTCGAGGGCCACTCCAGTCCACTGCTTCCGAGAGTCGTTTTCTTCGCTCTGTCTCTCTCGTACTCGCGGGGCGTCCCGTACAGGAGCGAGAGAGGCAGAGCGTTGAAGAGGACTCTGGGGATCGACCTGCAGTGCAGGTCCGGGTCCAGCGCGGGCCGGGCGGAGCTTCGTTACCGTGTAGGGCCTTCCAGCCTTCCAGTGTGCCGCTAGTTTCCAACAGCGCTCCGCCTCCCTTGCACCCATTGGCCGTCCCGAGAGAGACACCGACAAAAGCACTCTGTCCCGATTCAAACTGCCAGAGCGGCCTGCAGGGTGAGGACTACTCGAAACCCGCGCGCGCAGTTCTCGCGGATTTTTGCCACGAACACGAGCGCGGTGGGGGTTTGGCGTCGTCGCAGAAGCAGAACCTCTCCCCGTCGCCCAAGGTTTGACTCCGTTTCGCGCGCAGTGTGTCCCGGAGCGAAAAACAATTTGTCCCGAGCTGAGACAGGCATGAGAAATTCAGTCATCTTCACCTTATTCGCGCTGCGCGGGCGTGGCGGGGTGGGGCGGGGTGGGGTGGGGCGGGGTGGGACGTAGAGGGGAGGTCGACCTTGGCTCGATCCCGCCCCATTCGGACGAGGATTTTCGGTGCGGATCGCGCCGAGGTGGCAGGCTTCAGTTTGAAGAGGGTCCGCCCCTTGTCTGCCAGTCCGTCTACCTGGTGCATGGCGCGTTTATAAATTACGGATCGGGGCGGGGCGGGGCGGAATTCATCCAATCGCCTTTTGCTCCGGGGCTCCGGGTAACGGAGCGGCACAACGCGCAACCTGGGCCGCGAGAGCCTCGCTTTCGGGGTCAAGCGCTCCTCGCTGAAAATTCCTACGACGCGAACGTTAGTCGAGATAACCAGCGCCACGTCTCTCTTCCGATTTTCGACTCGCCTTTTCCGTTGGGGCCGCGCAGTGCACGACAGCCTCCTAGTTAGCGAAGGCCGAGGCGAGATCCCCGCAGCGAGGCTAGGCGCGGCGAGCAGACTCGAGGGCCAGACAAGGCCTTGTTCGCTGCCCTTCTCCCGTGTGACCTCAACCTCGGCCTCGGCGGAGAAGGAGGGAGGGATCGAATCGGTTCGGTGCAAAAGACAGGCAGACAAGACTCCTGCTTCCATCCCGGTTCCCTGGTTCCCGGGTTCCTGGTTTAGAAGTCGAGTTATCCGCTGGGAGAGGCAGGTGGGGCCCCGCCCCGCCCCGCCCCGCCCCGCCCCGCCCCGCCCCGCCCCGGACCACCACCGCGAGGCGAGAAAGCCTTCAATCCGTCGCGCTTCTTCCCGCCCCTCCCCTCTTCCTCTTTTCTATGCCGGCTGCAGGGAAGGCGGCCGAGGCCTGGCGAGGCCTGCACCGGCAATCAGGCTCTATTGTGTCAGCGTAAATAACGAGTATGCCTCCGCCTTCCAGTGGGACTGGAGGGGGCGGGGGCGCGGGGGCACACTGCCGGCAAAACAGGGCCAAACCGGAACAGCGACGACATCTCCGCGACGCTCTCGGCCGCTCTTGGCACAGCATTAGGGCGCGCGGCCGGCCGCACCGCAGCAGCGACAGCAGCGGGGCCTGTCTCTGTCGCGCAGCCCTGGGGGACGCCCCGCGAGCGCGAGAGAGACAGGGCGACTCTCCGGAGTCGGCCTCCAGAGTCAGAGCAGCGACTGTGCCGCCATCATTCGACTCAGCGTGCCGCGAAATAATGTCGCCATGTTTATCGACTTGCAGCCCTGGACCTGCCATGCCAGCTAGACGCCCTGCTTCTCCGCCTCCGGCCAGCCCCGCGGGGAGCCCGCCCCGCCCCGCCTCGCCACGCCCCGCAAATTCTATATTCGCTCTGTGTGCAATACGGCCCTGTTCCTCGTTCCTCCTTCCTCGGCCGGCTATCTTGATTTTACGGCGCAGAGCGGCGCCAGCAGCAAAAGGCCGGTTCGGTCGAAAGGCCCGGCCGCCCAAAGGTCCCAGCGGCACCAGCGGCCCAGCCCCAAGCAGCCCCCAAGCAGCCCCCAAGCAGGCGAACGGCCAGACTGTAACAAGGCTTTTAAGAACAGAGCTTCTGAGGGACTCGTAAAAAATCCGAGCGGGACAAACACGCACTACTTTGAGTTGAGGCCGCTTCGGCGCGGGCCGGGCCGGGCCGGGCCGTCCACGGCGGCATGGCGGCGGTGTTGACAGTGTCGAGGCGGCGGCGGGGCAGAGCGAGGGCCGCGCTCCCTCCAGGACTTTGTAATTAACAATATCAAACTCGGGCCGGGTGCACTTTTGATAATGACGGCACTCCACCTGTCCCGGCGTGGCCCCACCCGCGGCGCCTTCTTCTCGTTCGATAACGGACGACCAACTCTATCAAAACTTGTTAACGAGCACCGAGCAGGCCGAGCAGGCCGAGCTGGGCCAGTCGGCCAGGTAGCGCCGAGCGGCTCGGCACAAAGCCACCGCGTGTACCGGCTGTGCCGCCCCATCCCCTCGCTCGCGAAAAAGGCCATCCAACGACCGGCCAGCCGCTCCAAAGCTTTAGCCTGTTCATCGTCGTTCTTTTTTGCTCCCCCTTTTTGCCACGCATCCGCAGCGCGTGGCTAGGCGTGGCGCTGCAGTGCTGCGCTGCAGTGTGGTGCAGTGCAGTGCACCGACCCGTGGTGCGGTCCAGTCCAGCCCCGAGTCTATTTCAGGAGGCGAGTGCTTTGCTGCGTGCGCGCTGCACGCGTTGCCCCCCGCCACCCAGCCCAGACAGCCCGGCCAGCCAGGACCGAAGGGCGAGGCGAAGTCCAGCCCGTGACCCACATCACAGTGGACGCGAGACGCCACACAGTGGGCCAGAAGACCGGTGGACGCGGTAAAAATGCAAGACGCGTTTTGATCTCCAGAGTCGCTTAATGGGGCTAGAACCGAACGTGTGATCCCACCAATGGATTGCTCTCCGAACGAGGAATCCATTGGTGGGGTCACACGTTCGGATCGAGTCCCATTTAGCGACTCTGAAGCTCAAAACGCGTCTCGAATCTTGGCCGCCTCCACCGGTCTTCTGGCCCACTGTGCGCCGGCGCGCGCCAGTACGCGCCGAGCGGCGGTGGCGGGAAAATACACAACGCACGCACCGCCGCCGCGTGTTGACTTTGGCAGTGCAGTCCAGTCCGCGCGGTCGGATGGACTTCGCCGACGGCCGTCGACGGCCACCTCGAGGACGCCACCCTGGCCGCCAACGCCAGGGAAGAAAACGCGGAGGAGAAACGCGCCGAACGCCGAGGCTGCGAGACTCGGACACATTTTCCCCACGCTGTTAACAGCTTGTCGATTCGCCGTCCGCCTGCAGGCGTGTCGCTTGGCGTGTCGCGCGCCGAAAGAATGGACTCGAATGTAACATCGACGAGGAATTTATGGTGGTGGCGCAGCGAGGCGTGGCGGAGCGTGGCGGAGCGTGGCGGAGCGTGGCACGCCGTTCCCGGCGACGCGGTGGGTGCCGCACTGCCGCGTCAAACCCCGCCCGCCGGCTGGGTCAAACAATCCCTCCCGCCACGCGGCTCGCCTCGCCTCGCCTCGCCTCCACTCGCCTCGCGCCTCCGAACGCACGACACATGCCGAGGGAACGCGCAGCTGCTGTTCGCTGATTGCAATTTCCCTTGGTGATTTAGCGTCGATGACGGCGCGGCACGGCGCGGGGCGGCGCGGGCGGGCTGGCGTGTTTCGTCGCTCGCACGCCGAAAACCCCATTTCGTGCGGCCGCCACTCCGTCAGGGAGCGCCCACGCGGCAGACTCATTCCGAGAGTCGCCGTCGTCGCTCTGTCTCTCTCGCACCTACAGGCGACGCCCCGTGAGGAGGTACCTCGGAGTCAGTCTGCCGTCCGAATGGAAACAAACGCGTGAGGCGGATCGGGACGACGGCGGCCTCGTTGGCCCCCAGACGCCTCCAACAAGGGCGTGCTCGAGGACCCCGTCGGGGCGTAGGTCACGGGGGGTCAGGTCCATGTGTTGCCTGCCGCCACTGCCGCTGCCCGGCCCGGCCTCGTAGTTAATTCATAGGCGGTGGCGCCGAGAGGAGGCAGTAGAGTGGCGCCCCCTCCCCCCTCCCGCCACGCCGAGCTCACTCTGCATAACCTCCAGCCAGGTAAATTAAAGGTGCCCCCGCCACGCCCCGACCGGCTGCCTGCCTGGCGGGCTGGCTGGCGGACTGCGTGGCAGAACGGCGGAGCCCTGCAGGCAGACGCGCCAGAGTAAAGTTGGAGCGGGCTTTACGACGGCAATGCGTCGCCATGGCGTCGCGACGCCCAAGGTGCGCCATTCGCGCCAAATGAGTGCCGGGCGCGCCGCCACTGTGCGCCGGCCGAGTCGCGCGATGGCCTTAATGAGGGAAGTCCGCGCCCCGGGCCGCCGACCAGGCCGAGCAGCCAGGCCGAGCAGCCAGGCCACAGTGGGCCAGAAGACCGGTGGAGGCTTCGAGAAGGCACGAGACCAGTCTCATGGAGATGACGCGGGCACGCACAACTTGGTTAGCGAGTCGCCGCGCCGCTCGCTGCGGATGTTAGTCGCGCCTCCTTGGCATTGCCTTCGCCTTTAGCTTTCCGTGTCGCAGTCGCCCCTTTGACGGCCCCCTGCAGACTCATTCCGAGAGTCGTTTTCGTCGCCCTGTCTCTCTCGCACCTTCAGGGAGACGCCTCATGAGTGCGAGAAAGACAGAGCGACTCTCGGAATCAGTCTGCTGGTCTACCTGGCCCGGCGAGCGCCTGTTGGGTAGGCTCCCCGCCCCACAGGCGCGCGCGCCACCGGGGCGGCTGCCTGCCTGCCGGGCTGACTGTCGCCGCTGTCGCTGTCGCCGTGCTCACTGCTTCCACCAATTCCACCCGGCCGAGCGCGGCACGGCGCGCGCCTTCTCGGCCGAGAGCTCAAATCTGCGTAGTGGAAAGGGGTGTGGGGCGCGGGGGCACATCGGTGGAGGGCAGAACCGGCAGAACGAGCCCCGAGACGACTTCCTTCGACACGGATCAATCATCGTGAGAGCCGTGAAACTTTCTTTCGGCGCCTTAAAGGGCGCGGCACGCGAGGGGGGAGAGGGGGAGAGGCGAGGGCCCCGCAGCACCGAGCCGCGTAGGTGAGTCAGCGGGCGCGGTCAGTCAAGACTCGGAAAGGAAGGCTATTTCTATTTCTGGGCCGGCCGGTGCGCTGCCCACTGGCCGCTGCCCCCTGCCGACTCAATCCGAGAGTCGTTTTCGTCGCTCTGTCTCTCTCGCACCTACACGGGACGCCCCATGAGTGCGAGAGAGACAGAGGTCAGCTGGCAGCCGCCGACAGGCCGGGAGGAGACTACACCAGGAGACTACAGCACACCACACGCACCTTCCTTCATGCGCATGATGACGGTCTGGTCAGTGTTGGGGCTGGTGAAGTACGCCGCGCTGCCCTCGTCCCAGAACAGCTCGTCCTGCACCTCCTGCAGCTGCACGGCCCACTCCAGCCAGTTGGTGTCGAAGGTGGCCTCGTACAGGTCGAGCAGCGCCTGGACCAGGAAGGCGTAGTCGTCCAGGAAGCCCGGGATGGGGCTGGTGGTCTGGATGACGCCGCCGTTGTCGCCGCGGTAGCAGCTCCGCAGCAGCCGGTTGCTCACCGCGTCGTACAGGTGCTTCTTGACGAAGCACGCCGCCTTCACGGCCCTCTCGGCGTACTTGTCGTCGCCCAGGGCCTGGGCCGCCTTGGCGAAGCCGCTGATCATCAGAGCTGCAGAGGCAGGCGGATTAGCAGTGGAGCGGTTGGCGGTTTCGAAGCGCGCTGAAGCTCAAAGTGAAAAGTACTTGCCGTTCCACGACGTCAGCATCTTGTCGTCCAGGTGAGGCCGCGGCCGCCGGCCCCTCACCTCGAACAGCTTCTCGCGGCTCTCCTGCAGGATTTCCTGGATCTTCTCTTTGGGTAGCAAGAAGTGCTGAGCCGATTGCTCCTCACTGCCGAACATGATGAGCACGTTTTGATTCACCAGCTCGCCGTGAGGGTCCGAACTCGGATTCACGTTGCCTCCCGGTTTGACATTGTAGTGGAAGCAGAAGATGTCCCCGTTTGTGATCTCCTTGCCGCCGCTGCCGGCTGGGCAACCTTCAATCGGTGTGTTCAGAATGTCATGCACCTCGTCGTAGGTCCACACGTAGAAGGCACCCTCCTTCTTCTCTGTCGAGCTGTGTGTGGGCAGCGAGTCAGCGTCTTCCGCACTGTAGAACCCTCCAGACTGAAACACACCACATATTTTACATTTTAATACAGTGGGTTGAGATAGTTTCAACAAAGAAATATTTTACTGAGCCCTTCCATGAGGAGTTTGAACAAAGGGGAAATCTTACCTCATCACTTAAATCTCGTTCAACATAACTAAGAATACCACGAACAACATCTGCATAAATATTATTGTTTGTAGCCAAAAAGGCATCACAGTAGGCTACAGCCAACTGTCCTTGATCATAGAGCATTTTTTCAAAATGGGGCACATGCCATTTGGTGTCGGTAGAATACCTGGCAAAGCCCTGGAAATCAAAATAAATTTTGGTGTCAAACAACTACAGTACATATCAGCCTCAATAATAGTTTCATTTTGGAAAAAAAAACACCCATACCTGTCCAATATGATCATGTATTCCACCACGAGCCATCATTCTCAATGAGTACAGACACATATCAAGAGCTTTCTTTCCTTTCACAGATGAGGGATCCCGAGAGTAAAAATAAAATAGGAATGTGAATATTGAGGGCTGTGGAAATTTGGGCGCATGACCAAATCCTCCAAATCGAGACTCAAAAATTTGGACCAATTTCTCATAGCATTGTGGTGCACACTCTTCCAGTGGTGGAACCCCGGTAATTAGTTGAGCAGCAATCGGTATTTCTAGCACAGTTGTTTGCCTAAGAATTTCCATAATCCTATTTCCTGTGTTGTTACACTTCTGTCTGTTGTCTTTCCACTGTAAGACAAAGGAAAAAGAAATTACATCTCTTTTGACATTTTAAACTTTTTTCAACTTTTGTATTATTTTACAAAGGTACTTACAGATTTGGCAACACTCAAAAGCACTGATTTGAATCCTGGGCGCCCATGCATGTCCTCTGGAGGATAGTAAGTACCACCAAGAACTGGTGTGAGATCAGGAGTCAAGAACACACTCATGGGCCATCCTCCACCTCCACAAGATGCCTGTTGGTTAACAAACCAGTTTCAAAAGACGTTGAACATAGAAATAAGAGAGTTGTAATTTAAATACAATGTAAACCTACCTGCACAAATGCCATGTACACTTTATCTATATCAGGACGCTCTTCCCGGTCAACCTTTATGTTAATATAGTGTTCATTCATTACTTTTGCAATATTTTCATTTTCGAAACTTTCTCGTTCCATTACATGGCACCAATGACAAGTAGAATAGCCAACCGACAAGAATATTAGTTTTCCCTCTCTCCGCGCCAGCTCAATAGCTTCATCACCCCAAGGAAACCTGGGCAAAAATTAAATCATTGCCACAATCAAGAACTACACACAAATTATAAATCAGCAATTGGAGTATAAATTTTCTTACCACTGGACTGGATTGTTTGCATGCTGTCGAAGGTAAGGTGACCGTTCTAATGACAATCGATTTGAATGTTTCGGAGCTTCAGAAGATTTACCCGCCATGATGCTTCGCAGACCGCTCCCTCTATTGCTGCAGTTAGAACCCAGGTTTGGATGGAGGTCCCAGTGCCTAGTGAGATTAGATAAGGAATATTGTTTATTGCGTGATTTGAATCAATCACAAAACAGCTTTCACCTTCACTTTCTCTAGAGAAGTTTTAAGGAAGCAGTGTATAAAGCAGTTTCCCATCGACTATTAAACCCAAGGATGTATTAAAACAATTGTAAAGTGACTGACATTTATTTTTATTTCGAGATATTTTGATTCAATGATTTTAAACAAGACTACTTAACCTCTTTAATAACAGCTGTTTGTCCCCTAAAGAAAGACAGCAAAGCGGTGAATGTCGATGGTGACCCCGAAAAGATATTCTCCTGATTAAAATCGGAAGTAAAAGGGGATGAATTGCTCTTCCTGAAATCATAACATGGGCTTGAAATGCTACTTAATTCAAAATTTTCTCGGCTGCTAGCCAGGACCTAAAAACACAACAACGGGACGGTGCAGACAACCTACCAGAATAAAACCCAACGACATGCTGCAAATATTAAACACTGCTTTCAACCCAGTGGACTGAGTAGGGATAAAAATTGAAGGAAGACTCCACTTGTAGCATGTGATCACTGATCTTTACACTCAAGGCATTCGAAGTTCAGTCAAACATGGATTAAGTTGTCAGTTGTCATACTGGAAGAGAAAAGGAGGAAAGTTCAATCATGGTTCAATGATGTTCGTCATGTTCATGGGTGGGTAAGTCATTTCCATTTCGTCATTTTGATTTATTCTTCCTCTTGATTGTGTTTTTGATTTTGTTTCAAAAAGGTTTGCATTTCTTTCATAAGAGAGAAATAAAACAATTTTTTATTGTCAATGTTACTTTATTTGGTTCAAGACAATTGCTCTGCTGCAGACATACCAATATGTACAAATCAGACTCTCAGCTTGCAAAAGTACTTAATTAGATGACTGAACAATTGAGCTGTGCCCATTCCTTTCAAAAAAACAGAGCATTAAAAATTTCAAATTCAACAATATACCATTTCACAGAAATTGATAAAGCACTGCCAAATCGGGCTGTGGCTTATAAGTGTGGCAAGGGGTATACCACAATCAGTCTTAAGCCCCACAATATAATTCGGGCACACTTCAGCTGGAGTCAGGAATTGTACATTACACTCAGCACATTTCATACCGTTTATTTATATCATAGCCTTGATTTACAGGGGCAGCCTCTGAATAGCATGCATCCTTCTCATCAGCTCTCCAAATTTTGGCAACATTACAGGACCACTACATTAATAATGGTTCTCAGACCTTTGAAATCATGGTGTCCAAGTGACCGATAAAATTTGAACTCTGACATAATTGTAAGAACTATATCACATTAATACACTATTCTAATAGCCAATTCATTAGCATAGTTCAAAGTAAAATTACATAATACAACCTCATCAAGGTCTTAAAAGACACAAGACTTAAAATACTGTGACATGTGAAAAACTTCCCATACCTTACTCTCAAAATCAATGAATCGTCTTTACACTATTATGGAGAAGAAAAAAAATTACACACTGCCACAGAAAACTCCAGATATAAAATTTCAAATTAAAAACAAAAATTTGAAACTGATGTTAAAGTAAAAGAAAACAATCACTTGCACCTTCAAATTGCATGATAAATATTAAATCATACTATAGCACTACAATGCGCCAAATAAAGAGCCTGACTAGAGACATAGGATGTGAGAACAAATGGATGAATTCATCTAAATTTACTTTGACACCTCCTTCATTCTGTTGAGTGCGCTACCAGCACGGAACCATGTGATCTGCAGATCGTTCATTGTGTGGTTCAGGGAGATGGTTTCTGTCTTGCCATCAGGGTGCTTAAGTTCACACTTGAGAGGCTGTAAAATAAAATTGGATGGTTAAATAAATGTCAATTTTTACATGTATAAATTGACTTCAACAGAATTAAACCCAACCTTGCCAGGGGCCAAGTCCTTCAGGCCAAGTATTGACACTTTGTCGAATGGAGTGATCTTGTCGTAGTCGGCGGGGTTAGCGAAGGTCAGAGGCAGCATGCCCTGCTTTTTCAAGTTTGTTTCGTGGATACGAGCAAAGGACTTTACAATGATAGCTACACCACCAAGATGACGGGGCTCAAGAGCGGCATGCTCCCGAGAGCTGCCCTCACCTGATCAAACAAGATGAAGAAAATTAGTGATAACAAGCAGCCAACAGCTAATCATGCTAATATCAATCTTCATCAAAGTTTCTTACCGTAGTTGTCATCACCGATGGCAACCCACCTCACACCCTTGGCCTTGTAAGCACGGGCAACTTCAGCAATACCACCATAGTTACCAGTGATTTGGTTCTTGATTTTGTTGAGCTCGCCATTTTCAGCATTTGTTGCTCTAAAATCAAACAAACGCATTAATAGCGCATGGAAAATAAGGCTATGTATTTACAATTGCATGTGTCAAGTAACAAACGACACTTACGTGAGGAACAAATTGTTTGAAATGTTGTCCAAGTGGCCACGGTACTTCAGCCAAGGGCCAGCAGCAGAGATGTGATCTGTTGTGCACTTTCCTTTCACCTAGAAATGAACTGTCGTAAATAAAGGTTGCTAAATGCGGAAAAGGGGGAGGAGGAAAGTCTAAGATACCTTAATGAGAATAGTGAGGTCTTTGTAGTCCTGGCCATCCCACTTGGTGAATGGGTCGAGAAGCTGCAGACGCTGACTCTTGGGGTCGACAACAACCTTCAGGCCGGATCCATCCTTAGGGGGTTCCTGGTAGGTGTCCTGGCCAGGGTCGAAACCTTTAGGGGGCAGCTCCTTTCCGAACGGATCAGACAGCTTGAACTCTTTGCCTGAATTTCAAAGAACAAAAGAAAGCCAATAATTTGCTGTTTCTACTGTTGAGGACCTGGAAATTGTAAAGTACACAGAATAGTCACATACCGTCAGCTCCCTTCAGTGTGTCAGTAAGTGGGTTGAAGCTCAAGGAGCCGGCGATGGACAGGGCGGTAACGAGCTCAGGTGAGGTGACGAATCCGTGAGTGGCGGGGTTGGCGTCGTTGCGGCCGGTGAAGTTACGGTTGTATGAGGTGACAATGGTGTTCTTCTCTCCCTTCTTGACGTCCCTGCGGTCCCACTGACCGATGCAAGGTCCACAAGCGTTGGCCAGGACGGTGCCACCGAACTTGCGGAAAGTCTCAGACTGGAAAAAAAAAATTGAACAGTCAGCAATGCATTTTAGGGACGATGAAAGGATTGACTCACTTGATGAGTACTTACCACACCATCACGTTCAATAGTTGCGCGAACTTGTTCAGAGCCGGGGGTCACATTGAAGGGAATCTTGGACTTGAGCCCGTGCTTGAGGGCTTCCTCAGCAATGCTGGCACAACGAGTCATGTCCTCGTAAGATGAGTTTGTGCAGCTTCCAATCAGACCTGCACAGAGTTTCCTTTAGTGGCTATAGCCAAAAATTTTCAATCAAGAGAAACTAATACTCACCAACTTTGATTTCATCGGGCCAGCCAGCCTTCTTGGCGTTAGATCCCAGTTTGCTGATGGGGTGAGCAAGATCGGGAGTGAAGGGACCGTTGACATGGGGTTCCAGAGTGCTCAGGTCAATTTCAATCACCTAAAAATAGTTTTATTAGTCATGCTACAAGCTTAAACAAGAAAAGAAAACAAAAACTGATGCTAATTTACCTGATCATATTTGCATCCAGCATCAGCAGAAAGCAGAACATCCTTCACACGAGCAGCCTCATCGGCAATATTCTTGCGACCAGTTGATTCCAAGTAGGCAGCCATTCTGCTGTTGAAGGGGAAAACTGAGGTAGTAGCACCAATCTCAGCTCCCATGTTGCAAATAGTTCCCATACCTAAAATGCAAGCAACCAAGAAGAAAAGAAAAAGAGATTGAACAAAGTTTAAAAATAGATCTCACTTCAAACAAAAAAGACACTGCTGCTGCAGAGATAACTACCTGTGCATGAGATGGAATCAACACCAGGGCCAAAGTACTCCACAATGGCACCAGTACCACCCTTGACAGTCAAGATACCAGCCACCTTCAGGATCACATCCTTGGGTGAAGTCCATCCCTTCAGAGTTCCAGTCAGTTTTACACCAATAACCTGAACCAGAAACAAAGAAAATTAAATATCAAACATAGTTACAAATAAAATTTCTTGACTTGTGGAGGGAACACAAACCTTGGGGCACTTCAACTCCCATGGGATGTCAGCCATGACGTCCACAGCATCAGCACCACCAACACCGATGCACAGGCCACCCAAACCACCGCCATTAGGGGTGTGAGAGTCAGTACCAATCAACAGAAGACCAGGGAAGGCATAGTTTTCCAAAACAATCTAGGAAAAAGTTTCACATTTCTCACAATCAGTGGCACTTTTAGGTCAACTTAATCTTTAAAAAAATATGAAATTCTCAATACCTGGTGAATGATTCCAGAGCCAGGGTGCCAGAAACCAACTCCATACTTGGCACCAGCACTGCGAAGGAAGTCATAAACCTCCTTGTTTAAGTCCTTAGCTCGGCTAAGATCCTCTGCACCACCAATCTGAAAACAAAATGACAAATCAAATTTTCTGAAGGCACCAAGAATGATAAGAGTTGTTCTCTTTCCATATTGGCCTTTGATCAGAAGCAATTAAATGGAACATCCCCCTTATCAGGGAGATAAGAAATAAGCTGCAAGAGCATGAGCCCTGAGTGGGGCTTTGGACCAAACGTGCGCCCAATTGTATTCCCATCTATCTTTGACACATTAGTCCAGATGCCTTACTTGAGCTTCAATGAGATGGTCACAGTGAATGGTGGATGGGACAGCCACTTTGGGGAGGCCAGATGAAATGAATTGAAGCATAGCCATCTGTGCAGTCGCATCCTGCATAGCCACACGGTCAGGGCGAAGGCGAAGATAGGAGACACCTCGCTCAACATCTTGGCCTTTGGGGTCATCCAGATGAGAGTACAAGATCTTCTCTGACAGTGTCAAAGGTCTTGCCAGCCTAGACAGAAGGGGGCAATGTTGAGTATGGTAGACTCATCAACACAATGGAATGAAAACAGAACAGTTGTTACCTCTTCTTGACAACTGCGATATTGCTAGCCAGCTTGTCATAGGGCAGGGGAGCCGTGTCAAGGCGGCTCATGGCTACCTTGGTGGCCATGGCGGCCAGTGGAGATACAGAGAAGCATCTCTGCTGTACGTCAAGGGCCACCACCTGTGGACCCTGCAAAATAAAATGAAACAAAAAATTGTTAGAATACATGCATGTCGAGAGAGAAGCAAATCACATTAGTCACATCAAACGCGACCAGAGTAAAACATAGCGGCAATGCCAGTTATGTAACATTCCTCATTCAATGGGTCAACGGCACCCAGACAAAACAAAACCTCAGAATGAGTTGGCTTATCAAGAATGCGGACCACTTATCAAGAGGGCCATAGATGCATGTGAATCTTGCCCACTAACATAACTCCAGGTTTCGGAAGCTCTACATCACTGACAATAGGTCTCACAGCTGCTCAAAAGGCTGAAACATGTCGGGTGGTACTCAACGAGCCGACAGGTGCCGCTCCAGGAACAACGGCCCGCATAACCCTTTCCCATTCATACCCAAAACAGGCAAGGTTAGAGTAACCTCAATCACGACCAAAATATCGATTTGTCGGACCGCTGAAGATGACAACAGGAGTTGAATTGCGTCGCGGCCACTGTGGCCGGTCGTCTTTTGACTCGACAGCGGACAAGTGGGGAAAAGGAGCGAAAAAGGGCATCCATGGGACATACTTGCGGTAGAGGAAAACCGAGCTTTGCCGTTCCATCGGCAGACCGACACGGCAAGCCGCGGCCAGGACCGTCAGGACACAACAAATCGCGCTACGGACCAAACACGGTCAAGCGGCATGCCCAGGCAATGGATATGACCTCTGCAACCTCTAGCAAAAAAATTTTCGGGAAGACATGGTCCTTCTAAAAATAGGAGGCCGTTTAGCACCCCCTCGAGAGGACATCATTGTCAAAATGTCAAAACGGCTCAACGGGGCCACCGCTCGTGCATTTCGTTAGCATGGTAAGCGCGACGTGGAATACATTACCTTGCGGTACAAAACTCGCATGCAGTACGCCATGACGAAACGACAGTCGGGCGGAGCGGAGTAGGACCAGGACCAGGCGCTTCTTGCGACCGTGGTACTGTGCCGAGCCGAGCCAGGCCGAGCAGGTCACGGGTTCGAGTTTTCTGGCGTAATCTTGTTCTTCAATGCGCCGCTATTCGCACGACAACCACTGCGCACAGCCACTGCGCCGTCTATTCGCAGGTCGGCCGGCCTCCGCCTCCCCCGCCCCCGCCGCCCCGCTGCTCGACCCGCCTCGCGACCCCCGCTCCTCTCTCGCCGACCGGCGAGAAAAACAGCCTGGAAAAAGCCCAAGGAGACGTGGGGCGCCGAGGACAGGACATGAAGGAGTCTACTGATAGCAGTACTGACTGACGCAAAACCCCGCCTCGGCTGTCATCAGCCGGTACGCCGCGCCATGCCGCCCCGCGCCTCACCTTCGCGGAATCCGCCACGCTAGGCTCCGCTACGCTAGGCGGAAAGGCGGGACGGGGCCAATGACATTTTCCTCTTTTATTTTCCTGGGCTACTACGGATTACTACGCCGCGTGCCGGCCGTGCCGCGTACTGTACTACGCGTCTTCCCGCGATAGTAGGGCGCTTGGGCCGGACCATGGCGCCGGCGGCCTTGAACTTGCCGTGCTACTCGATGATTGACACCCGCGAACGTGACCGGGCTTATCACGTCCGCGTAGCGCGGCAACGCGTAGGACGAACCGGTGACCGGTACCGCTTTTGGTTTCGGGGGTGTGGGAGGGGGCGTGTGGGAGGGGGCGTGCGCCGCGCGGTGAGCCGCTGCTGACGTGCCCACGTCTTCACGTCCTCCTCACGTCCCCGCGCGCCCGAGCCGCAGGGATTATGCCCGCCCCGATGCACAGTGTCACAGTGTACTGTACAGTACGCGAGGACTAGCGGCTGGCGGCTGCCACCGGCCGAAGGTGTCGGATAGGTTGCCGCACCTATCCGACACCTTCGGCCGGTGGCACACAGGATATGGTTTTCGGTAACAGATAGGAACCTCTGTGCCTGGTTGGCGTCAGCGCTTCGGGGAAGACAACAGGCACCTGCAGCAGACACTCGTGCACACACAGCCCCCATATCTACGGCTCCCTCTGCGTAAACCATGGCGCCACGCAGTAAACAAGTCATTGCATTTTCTGACGTAATCCACCAATTAAATGAAATGAGCTCCCGGCCTTTGCGCGGGCCATTTTATTCACCACCACTGCAAGCTGGCCTGACCCGAAAAGCGGACGCAACGTTAAATTCCGCCCCAAAACGCGCCACTTTCTGGTATGAAAATCTTTGGCTTCTGTCCTGTCCGTATGAGAAATTTTCAGACTCCTTTGGCAGGTTTGGCAGTAGAGTTCTCTATTTTACACCTGACAGCTGACTTGTGCTGTCTGCTCTTCTGTTATTGTTGTTGTGTTTTAAGCTTGTTTGGGAGATTCACTACGAAATTAGGCAAGTAAGGCATTTTCAGTCAGATTTTAACTAATTTAAACACAGCTCCTTGATCTAACAGTATAAATGTCTCCTCTATTTTCATTTTATTTCATGTCTTTATTGTTTGCCTATTTTGACAGTTGCATTCTATCGAAAGGAATCACTCATTATCCTTTGCAGAGTTGGTCTCAATTTGATGTCTGTAATTTCTTTGAACCCCTCTTGTTTCTTAGCTGTCCTCCTCACCCCTTGAAGTTAGTGTTGTCCTCAATTTTGAGGTTACTGTTACTGGAGACTAACTTGTCAATGGATTCTCTCTTTTCAGAAAAGCTGTCATCCTGTTACAATGGCGCCAGACCCACCTGTTTATCCAGTGGATGAAAATTTGTCAGATAAATATAGTAAGCTATTCTAGACAAAACCTGAACACCCATAAACTTAATTTCTATGTTGTTTCAAATTTTGATCTTGATTGATCGGTTTGACTGTTCTCTTAGATGCTGGTATCCCCCCTCAAAACAGCGATGACAGTGACAATGAAGGGGAAGAACAGCCAGCCTATGACGGGTACACTCTTCTTGGCCAGCACGAACATCAAGGAGGAAATCTCGACAATGAAGACGATTATGTAATGAATTGATTCTGTTTATCATTTTAAATATTTATTCAATTTAGCACAATAAGTACAGAACACAACAGTTTGCATTTCTAAGGCCTGTGGTTTGAAGTATCCTTTTTCATTTTCACAGGAGACTGAAAATGATGAAATAAATGCAGGCATGAACAATGACAATCAGCAAGCACAGGTACAAATTGCCATTTAAGAAATAAAAAGTCCTGATTCTTGATTGTTCAATAAATAATGTACTAATTTCCCTCTTTAATATTTAGGATATTATAGCAGCACCTCCTTCAGCAGGCAGAGCCGAGTTAGCAGCACTCTGGAATAGTGCACCTAATGAAGCTACGTCCAACAGCATTGCTATGGATGACGAGCGATCTGCTCAGATCAGAGCAGCTATGGCTGGTTTCTCTTTACCAGCATCAGCGGTCCCAGCATGGGCCTCAGATATTCCCGAAGAGTTGTGGAAGGAGAGATTTTTGGGCAGACTACAGCAACAGAAGAGCATTCCAGAAGCAAATAAGCCACGGTGAAACCAGAAAAGACATTTGCTCCATGTGATACAATTTTGGTGAAGGCTTGCACATTAGTTGCTGAATGACCGTTTACCAATGCCTTCCAATAATGGTTAACAGAAACAAATTGTAACAATAATTTAGAACCAACTTTTAGCAGCTTACAATTTAAATGAGCTACTGATTATTGTCTCAATAATTAACGCTCAGCCAATACATAGGAAATAACACATCAATAAGTGGTAAGGATTTGTGCTTAATGTGGTTTATGTAATCATATATCTACTATTTATTGCAAGTACTGTTTAAATTTGCTAATAAAAAAGCGGCAGGAATAAATATGATTACCAGAGTTACTAAGTGAACTGTGAACAAACAATTTTTCTGGACTACTCAAAATTCCCACTGTTGAAACTAAACTGACTTCACACGGTTAAGCATGAGAAAGAAACTCTGAATAAATTGAGTTAGTCACACAGGCTATTTTAAAACACTTAAGGTCTATTTAAATTAATGGAGTAATCATGAACATTTTTTGGTAATAGTTCGGTTTTGTTAAAATACTTCATCAAATAAAACATAATCTGAAACATTTATAATAATAATATAATTTATCACAAACAACCAGGGGATAAAGGATTTCTCCCCTGCAACAAAAGGCATCAACAGAATCCAGCATATTACACATAATTAGGCTACAGGACATCTCATCTCACAGAATAAAATAAACACCTCTTCAGTTAAGATAAAAGCATCTAACGACTGAATATACTTTTAAAAATGTCTTTGCAACAAGCACTATGCTATCCCTCCTTATCTTTCTAAATGGAATGGGTATGGCCTAAATTCTGCATTGGCAAAATTTAGCTTTAGATTAAAAAGAGTGAACCTCTCTATAACCACTTAATAACTACTATATCATTATGACCGTGTAGTATTCATTATGTCCACTTAACAAATCCATATTTACAACAAAGATGAAACAAGGCGAGGAATGAATAATAACAGATAATGGAACCAAAATACACCACTTTCAGGATCTATGAAAAACATGGAGTGGTTAAATACTCTTTCAATGAAGCACTCCTGAGAAGGTTAGTCTTTTGATAATAAATACTGAAAAGCAAGATGGGCAACCAGTGCATGACCTGTTTTAGCCTACAGAATATAATCAATAACAACATTGTTTTATAAATAATTAATAGCCAACACTTTCAATTCCATCCATTACATTGTGATAGTTGATGACTAAACATGACTAGACATTGAAAGGAGTCTCTGAGTTATCAGCCAGCTTCAGTGATACAGTACGATTATTTGTCCAAGATAGTTTGGCAAGACGCATTGGGTTCAGACGAGTGATATCTGCCAGAGGAGAGGTGCTGTATGATTTGATGCATCGAGTTTGGGAATTTCCAAGACCAAACATTCCAGTAGATGTTTGCTGCAAAATTATAATAGATGTGTAAAATAAGAATGCAAAGGAGAATATAAAACCAGTACAATAGTAAACTAAAGTACCAACCTGCCAGAAACACAACCGGTTTTCCCCACAACTGTAAGAAGCTAAATATTTGCCATCAGGTGAAAAGGCGCAGGCCGTTATGGGGGCATTATGACCAGAAATCATCTGCAAGAGACAATATTATTGAACCACTTAAAAACAAAATCATTTCAAATTATTGAGAACAATGTTAAAATACTAACTGGACATTTGGACGAACGCAGTTCATAAAGAGCTATCTGGCCACTTTTGGCTCCCACAGCAATGCGTCTTGTGTGCGAGCAATGCGACACCTGATTGAAGCGCCGAATGGCTGGGAACACGTCCTGCAAGCTGCGAGTCTTGAGGTGTCCTGGGTCCAGACAGTGCAGGACAATGTCCATCACCTGAAAGCAGAGGTAGGCAGGGTTCCAACATCGTACTCACAATTTCAAGTCATCATTCAGGTAAACTTGTGGTTGAGACACTTACCTCAACGAGGAAATCAGACATCTCATAGGGCATCTTATCAATTAAATGCTCAACAGCATGCAAAATCTCAGGTTTGGCGCGGTGCAGGACAGAGTTGCTGAGGTTGACGTTGAGGGTCTGGGCGTTCTGCTGCAGCGTGTTGTACCTCGCGACCTCCTTGGCCATGGTGGTGATGAAGGCGGCGGGCCGCGCCGTGGCGATCAGGGTGAGGGCGTGCCTGGCGGTGCGGCTGGAGTCCGCGGCCGGAGTGAGCGGCAGCCCGTAGGTCATGCTGCAACAACCACCACGTCGGGCTCGTCAAGCGGCCGTTCTTCTGCCCCAAAGCGTCCCGCCCTGCCTCGCCAGCACACTCACCTCGGCACGAGGCGGTCCGAGTCGCAGCACAGCTCCAGCAGCCCGAGCAGCACCTTGCTCACGTCCAGGTAGGGCTCCCACACCGTGAAGCCGCGCCCGATCAGGTCCACGGCGGCCCTGCGCAGCGCCGTGTGCGCCGGCAGCCGCGGCGAGGGCGGCGCCAGCAGCAGGTGGGTGAGCGCCAGGCCTGGAACACGAGACGAGCGCGCGCCGTCAGAGACGCAGGACGCAGACGAGGGTGGCGGGGCCGCCAGCCAGCAGCCAGCGCTACTCACTCGTGAGCCGCGCCAGGTTGTTGTTGCCCAGGGCGAAGGCCTCCACGACGGAGCTCTTGCGCCGCACGTCCTGGCTGGAGCGCCGCTTGGTGTTGTTGGCCGGGGCCGGCACCAGGGTGGCGCCGCTGCCCGTGGGGGTGGGCGCGGCGCTGGTGGTGCTGGCGGGCGGGGCGGCCTCCTGCCCCATGTCCTGGCCGAACTCGGCACCGATCACGCCCAGCAGCACCACGGCCGTCGTCTGCTTGCGCTTCAGCTCGGCCGCGCTCGACGGCTTGCGCACGCACAGCTCTGGAAAAGAAGCAGCCTCCGTTAGCGGCGACCTGGACCCAGACCTGGACGCACCACGTGGAGCCAGTCCTCGAGGGAGAGAGCTGAGTGGCTGGGTTTTACTGGTTAATTTCAGGTTTGGTTTACGGCGCTGGCCGTTGACGTCCCCGGACTCACCCTCGGCGCCCTCCTCCTCCTCCTCGGCGTAGTCGGGCGTGTCGGGGTGCATGGGCGGGCTGTGGCCCTGGCCGGTGGGGCTGTCCACGCCGGCGCCCGCGCCCGCCGCGGCCTGGCCCGGCTGCTGCTCGGCCGCGTTGTAGAGCGGCAGGAAGGGCGCCCAGCTGTCCACCAGCGCCTTGCGGCCCTTCTGGCCGAGGCGCTCCAGCTCGGCCAGCAGCAGCGCCTGCGCCGCCTGCCGCACCTCGAGGCAGTGGTGCTGCCAGCGCCGCGCCATCATCTCCACCTGCGGCCGCTTGAAGACGCGGCTGCCCGCCGCCGCCACCTTGTCGGGCAGCTGCACGCAGTGCAGCGTGGCGAGCCGCGACCAGCCCTGCTTGATGTGCGCCTGCTGCGCCGTGAACTGCTCCTCCGTCTCCTCCTCGGCGCGGCTCCACGGCGTCATGGCCGTGCGCGTGCTCTGCCTGCAACATCACCCGATGAGCGACCCATGACAGCACACCGCGCTAAGAGAGAGAAGAGTCGCGTACCGGTGGAGGATGCGGCTGCGCTCCTGCTCCGTGACGAAGGTGGCGTTGTTCATGGACATGAGCGTGTAGGACAGCGAGATCGTGGCCAGCAGGTGGTTGGTGGTGAGCGTGGTCGACAGCTCCCAGTGTGTGCGCGCCGTGAAGAGGCGCGTCAGCCGCTCCAGCTGCACCATCTCCCTCGGCAGCTCCGACTCGATGGACTTGCGCGCGACGGGCGCGGCGGCGGGCGGGGCGGCCGGCTGTGGCGGCTGGTGACCCGAGAGCGACACTCCGGTCGGCGGCGGCGGCCGCGGTGGAGGCGTCGGCGACGAGGTCGCCGCCATCGTGACCGCGTCCACGCCGTCGGGGATCTTGGGCTTCCACGTGGGGAGCAGCAGGCTCATGTAGCCGCCCTTGGAGATGACGCCGAAGGACACGGGCACCATGGGCCGCAGCAGCCCCAGCTTGGTCTCGCACACGCGGTCCAGCTCGGGCTCCATGCCCCACGCGTGCAGCAGCGACAGCAGCAGCTGCGCGATCTCCATGGTGATGTTGGTCTCCAGGAAGGCCACGTTGCGCGGCTTGTTGGCCTGCTCCTCCGCGCCACCTGGCAATCACAGAACAGAAAAGGAGAAATTTAGAGGCGGGAACGCCCGACGAACGACGGGTAGGCAGACCCGCAACACGCGAAACGCCCGACGAACGCCGGGTAGGCAGTCCCGCAACACACGGATGTTCGACGGGCCGCCTGTACATTACAATTACCATTACGGGCTCAAGACCACTACTGATCGTATGCCATTTCGGGCACGACACATGCTCGCCTGCACTGCAAAACGAGACATGGCCGTTACTATGGTGACAATTTGGCGAGCATGTGTGGGGCCCGAAAACGGCATACGATCAATTGTGGTCAAGCCCGTAATGGTAATGGTACATCGGGTAGGCAATCCCACTGCGCACGCACGCCCGGCGGCAGGGCGGCGTGGCGGGCTCCATTGGGTCCCTCCGGGTCCGTCGTCCCTCGGCTCGGCCGCTCCACTGTCCACTTAGCGTGATCGGTAATGAGGGCCTGGACGGCCTGGAGGAGCGAAGCGAGAACGAGAGCCCCGCAGTCATTACGCACAAAAGGCCGAGGCGGGCCGGTCCGGGATGGTCCGGGCGGTGCTCCCCCCGGCCGGCCGGCGAGGTGGCGAATGGCGAAGACGGCTGCACTCGCTCTATCGGCAGCCTCGTCACGACCCGCGCGATTTAAGACCGCAGTCCGCGTCTGCAGAGGCGAGAGTGCAGGGAGCGCGAACACGCACTCAGCTCCAAATTCGCAGACATTGTCGCACCGCTGTTATCGAGCGAGTTCGTTTCTGCCGGTGTGCACGCAAGGCGGCAGGATCGGGAATACATTGTCCGTGGTCCCTCGGCCCGCCGCGTCGGTCGAATCGCAAATTCGGCGCCGCGCCAAGGCGATGGAGTCGGTTTCGGGTGTCGGGACGCGCTGCTCGCCACACTGCATTATTGGCGCGGAGGCACGGCGCTCGCCTCACGCACATGCACGGCACGCATCGCGCGCCACGCGCCCCGGGGCTGGGCTGGGCCGGCCCGGCTGGGCGTGGCCGGTCGGCGGAGGTGGCCCGCCCGTCCCGTGCCCGTCCCGTGCCCGTCCCGGGAGTCGAATACAGATCACACACCTCAAGAATGAAAATAAAACGAGCCGCGGCGAGGCAGGTCTCGTTTCGTCTCGGCCGTTCCTCGTTCCACGGCGTTGTGGATCAAAAGCGCGCTAGTTGTAGTCAGTGAGTTGTGGCGGCCGCGCCCTTCGCTCTCATCGGGGCGTCGCGGCGCCAGCCGAATTGAGAGACAAAAATAAAATTAATGGCCATTCCCAGTTCGCGGCATTGCGGCTCCGCCCGTCCGATACACTATTAAACGCCGCGACTTCCTCAGCGCGTTTCGCCTTCGGCGCGCTCCCACGGGCCAGGCGGGCCGCCAGGCAGGCCGCCAGGCCCAACACTGATTGGCTGCGAAATTCCTATCCTTCGGCGCTTCGCCGAGTCCTTTCCTCCGTCATCACAGGTGGCGCCGTCACCTGCAGCCGCGCCCGGCCCGCCCGGCCCGGACAGGCACGCCGCCCCCACTCGGCCCGCACTTCCTCCAGGACGCGGTCCGGGGCGTTGTCCAGGACGCGCGTGTGGCCGCCCCAGTATCATGGAGTGATCAAGGTCGTGGGCGTATCGCAAGGCCGCCCAAACGAACCGCATGCGCAGGGGGGGACCAACCACGCCCGTGTTGGGCCCCACCGCACCACGCCCGTGTTGGGCCCCACCGCGCCCCGCCCCGCCCCGCCGCGCCACGCCCCGCCAGACTCGGCCGGCGTTAGGGCCCCAGCAGCACGCGGAGTCCGGATACAATAACGAACTCCGCCAAGTGGAAGGCGTCTGCTGCTGCCAGCGCAGGGCGTCGCGTCGCGCTGTCGCACGCAGCCTACTTTATGCGGACGAGAGCGCTGCCGCCCATTTGGCGCCGCGACGTCGTGGAGCTGGACCTCCCCCTCCCTCCTCGTGCGATATGCAGCGCTGGGCTGGGCTGCAGGCCGATTCCCAACACCGCGTTCGTCGCTCTGTCTCTCTCGCACTCATGGGTCGCGCCGTACGGGTGCGAGAGAGACAGAGCGACGAAAGCGGTGTTCGGAATCGGGCGGCTGGGCGGCCAGGACAACGACCTGCACTGTGTGCCGCACGCCGCACGACCCCGGGCGCTTGGCAGGGCTTCGCGCCGCGCGGCCTGCGCGGCGGACTTCTCGTTCACCGCTGCATTCGGCGCGCGTGGGCGGAGGGAGGGGAGGGGACAAGTAACTTGGAGGCGGAGGCGCTGGAGGGGCCCGTCGATATCGGCCCGGACAACTGAAACAACTCGTCCTGTTTGTATGCGGTGCGGAGGGTAACGCGATCCCAGCAGCCCTTCGGCGGTACTCAAACCGCCGCGCTGGACTTTGCGGTCGTCGTCGCGGACGTTGTCGCGGACGTCGCGGACGAAGAAAAACGACCCGTCCGCCTTGGCGGCCTTGCCAGTCGTCGCGTTGCCGTCAGTATAGATTTCCGACCCATCCTCCTTTTTCAGCGGGAACCTCGGCCGTCCGAGCGCAGTTTAGTGCAGCAGCGCAGTCGAGCCGCCGAACGCGGTGCGCGGCGCAACCCGTCCTGGCCCGGTGGGGACCGTGGGGACCTTGGCCGTCATCAGGATCAAGTTCAAGAGCCGGCACACCCGGCCCGCCGGGCTGGGGGCGGCCGGGCGCCGCGCCGGCACACCGGCCGGCTGACGCGGGGCGTGGTGACGGTGGGCAACGCGGGGCAAGGACACTTCCAGAGCGCCGCCGGCGGGACCACTACAGCCTGGGGCAGGCAGCCGCCGGGCAACAAGCCATTACTCTTACAGGGAGCACTCCAGGGCTCGCAACGGCGCGGCCAGTGGCGCGGGCGGCAGACATCCGGGTGCCTGGAGCGCGGACCGCGCCGCCGACAGCTTCGTTAGGCCGGGTCGGCCGGCCGGGCCGTGTGCCGCCTATTAGTGTTCGGGAACAACGGGCGGCACGACAAGCAGGCTCCTCTCCGCGTCTTGCTCGACGCGCTGCTCCAGGAGGCCGCCGTCAACGCATTTCTTTTGCTCCGCGCGCGTTTGCGCGTCACCGCCACAACGGCGCGCGCCTTGATTGAATTCTAATTCGGCCGCTACACCGCGGGCGGGGCGGGGCGCGGCGGTCGCCTACGACGGACCTTTGATGAGGTACAAACACCACGCGATGCCGCCCGCCCGCGCGCTCGCTTGCTCGCTCGCTCCCCGCGCCGCCGCCGTCCCCTTCCTCCAGTGTCCGCACTCTGCGCACTCACCGACGCCGCTGCCTTCTTTCTCTTTCCCGCCTTTCTTTTGGCTCTCTTTATCGAACCGCGATGCACGCCTCGCCGACAACAACAACAACAACAACGGCCTGTCAATGCCCCCCCCCCCTTTTTCCCCCAACTTGTCAACGCGTCCCGCAGCGCAGTGCCGAGCGCAGCGCGAAGCCGCGGACCACCGCGAAGCACGAAGCACGCGACACGTGAGATACAAAAGGCTCGCGCAGTGCAAGCGAGACACGACGAAAAGAAAAGCCGAAACAGACTCCGAGAAAAAGGATAAATCCGCCGGCCGACGGAATGATGCACTTTCCGTGTCTGGGCCGCCCCGAGGTCACCTTACCGCCAATCGGATCGGACCGACCCGCCCAAAGACCCACCCCGTCGGCGGCCAAATTTCAGCACATCCTGGTCACCGCCCCGGCCGGTCTGACGTCACGCCACTGGGGCCGGGCAATAATCACGCATGCAGGGCGGACTAATAAAAATAATGAAAACAGGGCAATCGGCGGCCGTGTCACATTAGAGGGGACAGGCATCTCCTTTATTGCCCCACATGCTGCTCGTTTTGCATTCTTTTCCGAGTCGTCCCCATAGCGCCCGTCCTGTGCCAACGTCCTGCCGCGGCCGCGGCCACGCCCAGGGGAACTGCCCCGCCCCGCCCCGCCCCGCCGTACTCCGAGTCCTAAGCGTCCCGGAACAATGCTGCGCTCGTCGTATTCCCGGAGGAGTTGGCGAGGGCCTCCAGGAACCGCGGCGCCCTAAAACCTGCGCGCGGTTTCTTGCCCCGACTTTGGCCCTGCCCGCCCTGCCGCGGCGAATGGCCGTCCTTTACGACGCCCCGTCCACGGCGGGTTCATTCCGTCCCTCGCACTCGTGGGGCGACCCGCAGAGAGGGACAGAGCGACTGGGGCCGTGATCTTGCCCTCTGATCCCTGCACCAACAAGATGCCCATCATTTGCTCGGCAGGCTGGTAACACTGGCCGAGGCCGCGCGACGCCTCCGGCCGGCCGGCATCGCCGTAACGACATTGGCGCGGCGAATCGGCGGCAACAACGAGGAGGTGGCCGTCGAACGCCCTGCGGCGCCGCGTGCACTTGCCTGGCGCGGCACTCCGAGCAGCGCCTCTCCATTGAGACATCGGGAGCCGCGCCTGGCCGGCCCTAGACCCAGGCCGCCCGGGCGACAAGAAGACAAAGCCCGGCCTTGGCCACGGCGCAGCCGCCAAACCAACGCAGATTAATTTGCCGGGATCGCGCGGGATCGGCAATCCAAACCATCCCAGAGCCGAGCGGGGCCGAGCGGCGTGGAGCGGGATAGTGGTCTTGTTAGACGCCCACTGCACGCGGCGGGGCGCGGCAGAACGCCGGGAACGCCGCAGCGGGCGACGCGGAGGGCAAAGGCCCCCGCTCCGCGATAACTAATTTTTGCATAGTGTCCAGCGGCGCGCGTCGTCCATCGCCAGCGAAAAACATCTTAACACCGGCGCTTAAAACACGACAACGACGCTTACCGCCACCCAGTGTGGGTGCCGAAGAAAGAAGACAGGCTCTGCGACACCCGAAAAACAGACGAGCCGGATGTGCCCCCAATAGGCCAATAAAATGTCAAGTTCGCGCGGCGCCAGCGAGAGAATGCTAATCGGAAATAAAACAAAGTCGGCGGAGACATCCGCGGCGCGGCGCCAGAGCGCCAGCAAGATTGGCAACTTTCTTCCCGCTCCGTCGGCCTCATTTATATACCGCATCTGCCACACTTGACACGCCGGCGACATGGGTTCCCAATTTTACGGGGCCGACTCTGCCTTTATCGACTAGCCGGCTAGCCGGCTGGCCGGTACCCACGCCGGTACGGCGCGGCCCCAGGCCTGGCCGCGGCGCCGGACCGCCGGCACGCTTCTTCTGTTCAACGGGACCGGCCGCCGCTTTTCGCCAACATTTTATAGTGGGCGTGCGCTCTGCTGGTTTGGCTGGCTCGGCTCGCTCTGCCCTCGAGCCCTAGCGCGGCTTTTAACAGCCCGGTTTACTAGTCGCGGGTTTCGAACGGGCCGCGGCGGCATGGCCCGGTTAGCACTCAAAGCAACAGGCCGTCGCGACGGCGACCCTACGGGACGGCAAATGTCCTCGTGACCCTCATGCCCTGCCCTCGGCGGCGTCCTGCCTTCGGCGGGGTCCTGGCTAGCGTCCTGGTTGTCCTGCCGGCGGCGCCCTGCTGCTGCGTCCGGGCCGTTGCTCCCTCGGGATGCGCGACAGTGCGGCCCTTGCACTGCTTGGGCTCCAGCGGCGCGGTGCGGCGAGGCGCGCGGGACGCCGCCCAGAATGTAGGAAGTGCGTCCTGATCGGGTTTAGGGCCGCGCGGGGCGAGGTGGGGCCAGGCGGGGCCAGGCGGGGCGTGGCCGGGCGGACCATGCCTATCCCAACACGGTAGACGTCGGCCTTCGCGTTGCTCGCTGCTCGCTCCGCGTGCTCCGCGCTGCCCGGGCCGGGCCCCTGGCGGCCAGGCTGGGCCCGCGGTCCTGCATCCCGCCTGGAGTCCCGCCTCCCCCCTTCCCCACGCCGCTCTGGAGCCTCTGGAGCAGAGCGACGCCGCTCCGACGCTCCTCTCCCCCAAGACGGCGGCCGAAGCGGCGAAGGCGGGCCCGGTATAAAAGCGAGGGGTTCCTCTCGGACAGGCACCAGTTCGCTAGTGTCCATCGCACAGAGACAACAAGACCTCCCAACCTTCACCATGAAGTTCTTGGTGAGTGACGCATCGCGGCATCGCGGCCACAGAGTGCCTGCTCGAGTCCGCCAAGGAGTCCGCCAAGTGCAGCGTGTTGACCGCCGGCCGGCTGTTTGCAGATTGTGCTGTGCGCCGCTGTGGCCTGCGCCGTCGCCAAGCCCCAGATCCTGGCGGCTCCCTGGGCCATCCCCAACGGCTACGCCTACTCCGCGGCCGCCCCCTGGGCTTCTCCTCTGGGCCACCCTCTGGCCTACTCCGCTGCCCACTGGGCTGGTGCTCCCCTCGCCTACTCCGCCGCCGCTCCCCTGGCCTACTCTGCCCCCGTGGCCGCCCCCGTGGCCGCCCCCATCGCCTACTCCGCCCCCGTGGCCGTTGCCCCCGTGGCTGCTGCCGCTAAGACCCAGTACCACGCCCAGGACGAGCTTGGCCAGGCCAGCTATGGACACTCCGAGCCTTCGCAGACCCACCACGCCGTGCAGGTAAGCGCGTCCGCCACCTTCTACAGTGCCTGACTTGACGGAGAAATCCCGACTAACACATGCCTCCTTGCAGGACGCCTTCGGCAACAAGGTTGGCTCCTTCAGCTACGCCGCCCCCGACGGCCGCATCCTGAGGACCGACTACGTCGCCGACGCTCTGGGCTACCGCGTGTCCTCCAACGCTCTGCCCGTCGCTCCCGCCGGTCTCCCCGTCCCCGTCCAGGACACCCCTGAGGTCGCCATCGCCAAGGCCCAGCACCTGGCTGCCCACGGTGTTCACCACAGCATCGCCAAGCGCTCCGTCGCCCTCTTCCAGACCCCTGCCTCCACCGCTCCTCTGGCTTACGCCGCCGCCCCCGTGGCCTACGCTGCCGCCCCCGCCATCGCCCACCACGCCGTAGCCGCCCCTCTGGCCTACTCCGCCCACCACATCGCCGCCCCCGTGGCCTACTCCGCTCACCACATCGCCGCCCCCGTGGCCTACGCCGCCGCTCCCGCCATCGCCCACCACGCCGTCGCCGCCCCCGTGGCCTACGCCGCCGCCCCCGCCGTCGCCGCCGTCTCCGCCGGCCCCGTCCTCCGTGACGCCGTCCAGACCACTGTGGTCAACACCCCCGGCCACGCCGTGTCCTACCGCATCGACTAAGCGGCCTCGTGGCGGGCCACCTCCGCTCCAGTTTGACGCCAAGACGACCTAGGCCCTCTCCGGGAGCTGCTAGTCTTTTGTATTGGCGCCAAATTCAAGCGGTGCGGCCCCGATGGACCTCGCCCCGAACTGCGCAAGCGAGGCGTTTCGACCTTCCTTGATTCCTGTCGCTCTGTCTCTGTTCCTGTTCGGGCGCCGTTCGGCCCGCTGTGCCACCGGTGCTCGACAAACAATAAATTAAGTCTGCCACAAACTTATTTATCAAAGAAACTTGGAGCGCTCTCATTTCGCACCCTCTCTCTCCCACAGAACACTCACCGGCTTTGTCCGTTGCCCTCAGACCGACGCTCTCCGCTTTGGCTTGGATCTTGGTCTGCATTGTCTCTGCTCCCTCCTTCATCTTTGCAAGGATACCTGAAATTTTCGAAAAATTGAACATGTGTTATTAGCAGTGAAGAAAATTGCTAGACGAATATCAATAGGAAATCACTAGGTGCTAAAATGACTACAATGTTCAGATATCAAATTAGTTTTTAGAACGCACATAGTTGTATACATTACCTTTCTGTGACATAAAAGCGCTTCAGATTAAAAATACATACAATACATTCATTGGCAAAATCAAGCAATATGCAGGCATCAATCATAATGCCTAGAGTGAAATGCATGCAAAAATCAAGGTCAAGGGAGATGGTTTAACAGGAGGTACAAGAAAAAGCCCTTTAGAACAAAACATGCAACATAAACCAGAACCAGAGGAAGAAAATATGCCATAAAAATATAGGGTACTGTAATTCCTTATTTCACTTACAAGGCAATTTAAGTGACGTTAGATTGTAGTGTGCAAAGGTAAACTGATGTGTATTTTCAAAACCAAGTTGAAAACTAGTTTGGCAGCTGTGCTGGTGAAGCTTTGGCTAAGACAGAGTCAAAAAGGCCATGAGAAATTGAAATCACTACAGAGAAATGTACCCAGGCCCAGCTAAGTGCGGACAGAGGAAAATCAGGATTTAGGATTTCTTTGCCCTGTAACTCAAAACCATTCTTTAGACTGGATCATGCCGGTTCAATAAAGTATTTAATTTTTAATTTGAAAAACAAAACAAAAATTTAAAAAAAAAAAAAAAACCAACCAAAATGTGAGGGCTATAACTATACCTAAAATTTCCTAAGGCCACATGTGTCTTAAGGCAGTGCCATTGCACTACAGTTTGTATAAATGCTGTAAAATTTGTAAAAATTACCATGGCGATCCTTCTCCTTGATTTGCTTTTCGAAGGTTCCTGCTTTATCCTTAACACGGCCCAAGAAGTCTAGTGATAGTGAAAAGACAAAGAGTACAAATATAAACAGGTTTCATTTGAGGCCATTTGCCTTTTCTTCTTCAAATATTAAAAAAAAGGGATCATGAATGAAAGGAATTACTTATGAAGATCTACTTTCCATCAACTTAAACAACACTACACAAATGCATGGATACAAAGAGCACTTTAAAACAATTTTTTTAAGTTAGCTAAAACTCAAAAAGCACACAAGTAAAACAATCTTTTACATTATGAAAGTCCAGATGAAATTTTTTGAATAAAACTAGCATATTATTTTTTTTTCTTTCTTAATAAAGAACATGTAAAACAGAAGCAAGCATCACATTATCTTGAAAATACCAAGCAAAGAGTAAAAAACCTTTGCCAGGTTAAATGCAAATTAGCTAAAACATAGTTCAAATATAAAGTTACGAATGAATATATCAAAACCATGCTTTAAGGAAAAATTCAAACAGAACTGTCTATAGATCACAAAGGTAATTTGAGTATTTTACCATGACGATCCTTCTCCTTCAAAGTACGTTCCAGGTCGCCTGCTTTGTCCTTTACACGACCAAAGAAGTCTGAGCATATGCGGAAGCATATAAAGACAGAAAATGTTAGAAGACAAGGAAGGCAGAAAGCACGGAGCAGCTCAAGTAAAGAAATTCAGTCTATTCAAACTGGTCAATGGCATCAATTAAAAAAAGAATATTTGAAACAATGGTGAATTTTCAAATCCACTTTGACATGACATTCAACATTTTAATGTAGCCTCAACAAAAGTAGTTACAAATATTCTTTGTTTGTGCCATGATCCAAGTTTGATTCCTGAGAAGACTTTAAATTTTTCTCACCCGCAATCTTCTTGCCCGCATCAGGGGAAGCAGAATGAGTAAGCGCAAAGACCTTCTCATATTCTGATTGGTTGATGAGCCCCTGGGCTTCAAGGCTCCCAGGTGACATAGCCCCATACTCTTCAGTAAGGAGCTCCACTAAACATTCCAGTTATACATAAATCATCCACTACATACCTTAGCACAAGCTCTCCCAGAAGACAAGAAAAACTAAACCTATTAAATCATTTACATCTATTCAAGAAATTGTTAAAGAGTGCTTGGATTTAGATGAATGAATGTGAAGTATGACACCAACTTCTATGGCATGGTTGAAAACTTAGACCTCGAAGACCCTCCATGCGACCCAGGTACATAGAGTGAGTTAGAGGGAAGCAAAAGATACACATGCACTCAGTTTTTGTTTTTTCTTAAATACAAGACAGAAGAATTAAGGTTTCTGATAGAAAAACTGACATATGAATATGCCCCCAGAATATAGAATGAATGAGAGAAATTTGATTATTACATGAGACAGGGATAGACACATACACTTACAGACAAATGTATGAAAATGCTGAACCATAAAATATCCATAGGAGAGAAACCATATACATACCAATCAGTGCTTCAATGTCAAAGCACAAGATGTGACTCTCAGGGTCTTTGGGATTTGTTCGCAGACCCTGAATCATGAGGGGCATGGCACGCCCTTTTTGTTGAAGAGAACCATCCTGTTGGTTATGATGGGAAAGCTGCTGCAGTTGGTGGATTCCACGCTAAAATTTAAAATAAAAAGTAACCATTAGGCAAGCAGTGGCAAATATTATCAAAACACAATTTTTTTAAAGTTTGAAGTTTGGTACCTGAGTAGCATGTCTGATAGCAGATAGATTTCGGTGACGAAGACCACGGAAGAAATGGACAGCTGGGTTGGCCAAGCCAGAGTCTCCAGATGTTGCGGTGGATGTGTTTTCATCGCAAGCATATAAGACTTCCTCTGCACTGATGCCATGAAGGACTCGGTCCAAATGACCTGAATGCAAACAAATTAAAGATGTGATGAAAACTAAAAATAATACCTTAGACAAAAATGCACACAAATGCTAGGGCTTACCTGTCTCCATTTGCCAAACATAAACAGAGCCATCTGAACAACCAACAATCATAAAATCATCTAAGGGTCTCCACTTGATTGTAACCACTGGGAAAAGATGACGAGATGCCAAAACTACACACTTCCGCTCAGTCAAACCCAATAGTGTGACTGAGTGATCACTTGCCACAGAGCAGATGCACTTTTGAACTCGTGTCTGAAAGATTTTGTCCAATTAAAAAAAGGCACGAGAGGTTTGGAAAACCATAAACAACACACGGACATGTTACTACTTACACTGCAATTATTAGGAGGGACTAAGAGCTGAGTGATTTCTCCAGCATGAACACAAAATCTATGAAGCAAAGTACCACTGTACAAGTCCCAGAGGCAAACTGCAAAGTCAACACCCCCAGACACAAGGTGGGCACGCTCATAGCGAGGATGGACTAGGTGAGGGTACAGCAAACAATTCACCCTGCCCACATGGCCAATTAGTCTTTGGTGCGGAGGCCAATCTGCAACAACATAACATTTAAAAATTGCTCCACTGAACACTTTTGTAGACAACCCATAATCTAGTGGTACAAATATGCTACCATCGTACTGCTGGTGGTTTCCATGCAACAGATGTAACATGACTGTTTGTGTGGCTGGCACAATAATAATAGATCCATCTTCCCGACCCACAACAAGGCGACTTTGCTGAGGAAGGTACATGCTTGCTGTTAGTGGAACACGAGTAGCTCCACCCCTTTCCTGTTGCAACACAAAACAAAATTAACACTAAAAGGCCGGAGGCGATTTAACACCTCACACTAAGCAAACACTTTACCAATTGATCTAAAATTCCAACAGGTGAAGGCTGCATGGCTGCCCATGCTTTGGTCAAGCTTGTGGACACTGTTGGAGGCATCCCTAAAAGAATAAAAAATTGTCAAAAATAATTGAAATTAAAAAAAAAAAAAATTATCATGTTTTACATATAATGTAAAGGAAGCAAACCTGGAGGTTTATCAAACTCTTCCTGTTTGATTTGGGCAAGCTGGCTATTGGTAACTTCAGGAATACTCCAAACAACAACAGCTCCATCTGAGTCACCTCTTAATAGGTATTTGTGAACCTTTCCACTTCTGTTAACCTCATGATAACGCATAGCAGGAGGGCAAGACATAGGCTGCAACCAAGACAAAAAAACAACAAAAAAACATGCAATCTCAGATTGGGGGTAAAAAGGAGACAGGAAGAAAAAGTAACAATCAATCTCACCTTATCATTTGGCACTGCCAAAACACAGTACAGAAATGGAGAATCACTTTCGGAAGCAGGTGAGTGGAATTCCTTGTTGTCAGCAACGCAGCTGGAAAAAAAATTAAAATCATTAGAAATGGGAAAACTTTTCATATTTTTTTTATATGCAAGGAAACAAAATACTGCATACAGTTTCATACATTTTCAAGAGAGCACGGTTAATTATTTTACAGTGGATACCCACATAAATTCTAATATATAATGTAATAAAAGTACAACAGAGATGCAAATGCTGCAGCTCAATATAAAAAGCATAATTCCAAACAGATAATGGAACATGCAGAAATGAAGCCTAAGAGTTATCATTAATAGCAGACATACATTTCATAAACTACAAAAGAATATATTTTTTTATTTTATTTTGGTCCAATAATGTCAAAGTAGTCCAGAAAAAACACCAAATAAAATAAGTTAAATATAATAAGAGCCTGCGTACTTGGTGCAGATGTAAATGATTCAGTGGTACATACAAGCAAAAAGAAATATGACAACTTAACTACAGAGACAGCCAAACAACTAACAAAACACAATCGAGTCCTATTCACACCCTGGTAGACAGTGACACAAACCACAATGAAAGGGATATTTCAGATAGTGTTAGAAATGAGAAAATGAAGGTATTGCAGAATTCACACTTTACACATACTTGGTGCTCCAAAAAAGCAGCAGAAAGATTCACAGAGCCTAAGGACAAAGACGTCCACAGATAAACTAAAACAGAGAGACTGACTAATGTCCATTAAATAAAATGCCATTCTTGGTATTTGTAGTCCTTGCATTGCTAAGTTTTGCTAAACCCATTAGTCCCAAGCTAAAGAAGACTATAAGGGAGTCATGCACAGATGAAGTTAATACGACAGCACACAGACTCAAGTCAACAATAGGACAAACAAATGGAACAAATTTTGTATTGCATTGGATTTGGCTACCAACCTAATTGGAAGTCCTTTCAGCTTCCTACAGTACCATGAGCCATGTGAATGCAGATCCAGAATTCCAAGTTAGGATGTTGGCGAAACAGGCGACAAAGGGGTAAAGTCAAACATAATGGCAAATCCATAAGACGCATTGTGGAAAACAAAAGTGTGGTATGAATAATGCGATGTTCCCACGCACCCCCTTTTTCTTTAACACAGACAAGTTCTCACACATGAGGGGGGAGGAGGTGCTAAAATGTATGACTAAACATGAATAATTTTCCAAACGACACCATCATGCATGTCAAGCAACAATGAAGTATTTGTTCTTAAATTTGAAGAACCAAAACCACAAAATACAACAAAATGGAAACATAAATAAAGAATAACAATAAATTGTTTTCTAGGTGCACGCTATAAAGCTTCATGTGCCTCTCTAAAACATCCAATTGTCCCTGGCAGGACACATTCATAAAAAAATAAAATCATATTGATGTGATTCCAGCAGCAATGTTAAGCCTACTGAAACTGATGCAGAACACCCAATAAACTATTGAAATAAATAGTCAAAGATACTGTATATTGATTGCTTGCAATACTATTTTGTCTGTCATTTTAAATTGAACTCCTTCCTTTGCCAATGTTTTTGGCCAATTTGAGTTTTAAAGATATTGTATATTGGTAAGAAATGGGAGAGTGGTATAGATTTAAAGAAGAATAATGCTCGATTAAAGAGTTACACTTACTTTGCAGGAAGCTTGTACATATATCCCTTTCCTTCATCACTCCATGCAATCACACGGTCAGTGGAAAGAAAATCTGCGCTTATCCAGCGCTCTGATCTTGGGGCTTGAACACTACACAGGATTGAGAAGTCTCCAGCATCATAAATCTGTTTAAAATAATCAAAAGAAAACAATTTAGAAGGCAATCTGATTTTTACAAACAGGAACTCTGAAACAATACCCACCTGCCAGTATTTGGCGCAAACAATAACAACAGTTCGCTGATTACCCCCACAACAGCTCATGCACAAGGCATTCAAACATCGTATTTGCTTGCTCTCATGCTCATAATGTGGCTCAGTCGCTTTTGATTCATTGCCTTGAAGTGTCCAAACTTTAACCATACCCGTGGTTGTTAGTCCCAAAATAACATCATCTGATAATAATGAAGAAAAAATTAGAAACAGTAAATAGGCGGGAGGAAAAAAAGAAAGAGGGACAATTACGAATCACGAGCAGCCGGAAAAGAGGAGGAAAGAAGGGATTGGTTTTCGTCTGAATCTTTCTCACCTTTCCTCTTGGCAGGACGGAGTACATGTAATGCGCTGATCCAGTCAGGTGACATTCTGCTTGAAAGAGTAAATAGTACCTCTAAACTAAAAGGGTCCATGATTAAAACTTCTGAATAGTAACCATTGCAAAAAAGTCGGATGTCATCACTGCCACACATGTGATATGCCTGTAACGAGTTAACAAAGTTGAATGAAAACGGCCCCACAAAAGGGATAGGTCCAGATTACAGGCCTCTTTGTAAAGAAATGTAATATTCAACTTACCTGCATATTTGTGTGAACATATGGCAATTTGACAACCTCTCTACATTTTCCATCAACAAGATCCCATGTGCACATCTCTCTGCAAGGCAAAAGACAAACTCATTACCATACAAGCATAACAGACAATTAATATTTGACAAAACAAAGACATGGACCCTTATACACACCCACTCTCAGATGAGCTCACAATGTAATTATTGTCAGAAACAACTGATGCCCGAGCCAAACAAAGAATAGGTGCTGTATGGCCGACAAGAAGGCACCTAGGAGTCATCTAAAGGAAGGAAAGAAACATGAAAAAGAGGTCATCATAGTAAAATGTCACAAATGATGTAAATCATTATAAAAATATGTACCTGAAGTGTGTCTGGATCAACCTGCCACAGACATATTTGCCCATCATAACAACCAGTAACAAGGGAGCGCTGATCTCGTGACAAGAAAATGCATGATATGCAATGAGTCGGAGCAGACTTCCCCCAAAGAACGACAGGTACGACCAAATTTGTTCCAGCTGACATTTTTAATTCAGGCTGCACCTGTAAAAAAAATAAAAACTTAATAAGATGGTCACTTTAAAGCTTAAAACGTGCAGTGCAACTGAAGGGTGGCTGTTTTTGCTTCGAAATAAAAAGAAGTAAAGATCACATAACGTTCACTTGTACATGGTACCAAATCAATTTTAATAATACAAAGAAATGAAAAACTACGGCGATGCAAAAACAAGCGTAGTAAGAGGAAAATTATTTATCAAAAGAACAAGATGCTCCTTAAAAACAAATAAGAATACGGTTAATGTTTTTGACAAAAGAGGTTATGGCATAGCGAGTGTCGTCTGCTACTACTACATAAATAATGTATATGGTACCCCAATTACAATTGATGTTTTTAACATTGGCTTAATTTGACGAGGAAGAAATAAACAACACGATATATTATAAATGAAACAAGCTCGCTCAGCACCAAGGAGATATTTTTTACTAGTGTAAAATCTGAAGTGGTACATTTTCACTCACCTATGGGTGCCACGAATGGGTCAAAAAGAAACTAAAAAGTAATTACGACTATATTAAAATAGTAATGATTTGATTTGGGAGCTTGAAGGCATTCTGGATAGAAAGATCATTTCTTCAAGAAGATCTTCCACTCATCATATCACACGATCAGCTGTAAACTCCGCCTCCCTTTTTCAGTATTTTCTTGTTCCCGTTCTGCTGCTCCACAACGGGCGGGCAACCGAAATCCCAAACATGCAACAAAACTCCCTATGCATGGCCTGTAACCCCTCTTTGTACTGAAACTATCGACAATCAGTATGTGACCAAATTTGGCCACATTCAAGAGATGATTTTCGGGGAAATACGCATGGGGGAAAATCAGTCTGAATCACCATCAAAGTACTCAGTGCAATGGGGAAGTCGAGAGATTTTTGTTTAGAGTGACGCACCGTTTCGTCCCGGCTCCCTGCTCTGCGTAGCAGTAGCAGACAACAAGAAAAACCCCTGTGCTGAAGTTTAGGGTAAGGGTTATTATTTATGGCACCGCTCTTTATATAGTCAGTGACTTTCATTGTGATATGCAAGACCAGCACTCGCCCCCTGCCTGTGATTTTGTTGGTGTGAACTTGTGAGGGAGACTCACGGCCTGAGCCAAGCTTGCAGTGCCAGTGTGTGTAACGTGGTCTCTGTAAGGTTATGCGCTTCTTTGTGACAGTAATCTGTTAAAACGATGAAGTGTCACTACGAAGTTCTGGATGTCCCTCGCGATGTCAACAATGAAGATCTCAAGAAAGCTTACAGAAAAGCTGCCCTCAAGTGGCATCCCGACAAAAATTTGTCGAATCCTGACCTTGCCAAGGAACAGTTTCAGCTTGTGCAGCAGGCTTATGAAGTCCTGAGTGACTCTCATGAGCGTGCTTGGTATGACGCTCACCGAGATGCCATTTTGAAAGGAGGTTTGGGAGGTGACTATAAGGATGACAGCCTGGACGTGTTCCCGTACTTCACAACGTCATGCTTCAAAGGCTTCGGAGATGATGACGGTGGCTACTATGCTGTTTATCGTGAAGTATTCAACAAGATAGCTGCAGAAGACTCTGAGTACATGGAAGATGGAGACAGTGATTTTGAAATACCCTCATTTGGCAACTCTTCAAGTGATTTTAAAGAAGTTGTGCAACCATTTTATGCATACTGGCAAGATTACTCAACAAAGAAGTCTTTCTCGTGGCTAGACCAATGTGACATTAGAGATCTTCCTAACAGACGCATAGCCAAACTTGTGGAGAGAGAAAACAAAAAAATCAGGGACAAAGCACGCAAGGAAAGAAACGAGCAGATTCGCAACTTAGTAGCTTTTGTACGCAAGCGTGACAAACGTGTACAAGCTCAGGCTGAAATAGTAAAGGCAGAGCAAGCTGAGAAGGCCCGCCTGCTTGAAGAGAAACGAAAGGAAAGGCTCAGGGAGCGTCTACAACAGGCAAAGGAATATAAGGAGACAGAATGGTCTAAATTTTCAAATGTTGAAAATGAGTTAAGAAACATAGAAAAATCTCTTCAAGCTGAGCATGGGGACCATGATTCGTCATCTGAAGGTGAAGCAGATGAAATGGAGGAGGAGGCTGAAGATTTAAATGCTCTATATTGCCCAGCCTGTCAGAAGTTGTTCAAAACCGATAAAGCTTTTTCAAACCATGAGAAGTCTAAGAAACATAAAGAAAATGTGGAAATCTTAAGGCAAACATTACTTGAAGAGGAAGAGGAGAATGAAGGTGAAGAGCTCGAAGATGAGGAGCTTGATGAGGAGTTAGATGAGGAAACTGGTGATGAGCAGGACAGTGAAGATAGACAAGAAGAAGATGAGGAGAGTGGTGGGGAAGTAGAGGTTTCTGATCAGAATGGCAAAGCAGACATGAATGGGGCTAAAACCATCAAAAAGAATATTGAAGAAAGTGAGGAGGAAGGAGAGAAAGTTCAGCTGGAAAATGGAAGTGATGATTCTGACTCACCCCAGGCACCATTAAAATCTAAGAAAAGCAAAAAACAACGTAAAGTTTCTATCAATAGTGATGAAGAGGATGTGGAGGAGTTTGCCATGTTGTCCAAAAAACAACGCCGAAAGCTTCAAAAGCAGAGAGTACCAGACCCTCAGAGTGACAGCGACAAAGAAGACGAGGCTGAACCCAAGAGTACAAATGATGCTGATGAAGAGTCCATATCTGAGAAGCAAGAAAATGTCCCCAAGACAAAACTAAAAGGAAAGAAAGCAAAGGACGCTAAAAGGCTGCAAAAGCAGACAGAGGCAGAGGCAGGAACAACAACCGATACTAAGGAGGGTGTCAATATAGAAAAATTATCTTCTATCAAAGTTCAATCTAAAAAGGGTAATAAAAATGTTCCAGTTGACATATCTGTGATAGATACCGAGCATGTATGCGCAACCTGTGCTTCTAACTTTAGTTCAAAAAACAAATTGTTTGATCATCTAAAGAAAACGAAACATTCAGTTTTCATTCCCAAAGGAAATTCTGAGATGAAAGATGAAAAAAAGAAGGGCAAAGGGAAGAAGAAATAATATTGTTCCATTATTGTGATATTGATGCTTGGTCTCTAATAATTTATTTTTGTCATAATAATTCAATCTCGCTGTTGTAAAGCTCAAAAACGTAGTCTCATAAATCTCCACATGATTTTGGAGTTTGACTCATTTCCTATAATTTTTTCCTGCCAACCTGCAATGTTCCACTTGAATGAAATAAATCGAACCATCTCTCTCACATTGCCTCTTTGCGTTCATCTCCTTTTCCCTGTCTACAAGTACGACAAGCTTTCAAAGAACCTTGTCGGTGGAAAGTCCTCACAATTCGGACAAGACTAAACGTACCCGCCGCGCTGCCGCGCTGCCGCGCCGTGAGCGCTGTGTTGCTCTGTTTATCGAGGGAAGCGCGCGTGCGCGGGGCGCCGCTCGCTCTGGGGAATGCTCGGCAGGAGCAGGAGGTGCCACATGCCACAGCACGTACCGTCGCGTCTGCCGCGACCGCCGCGCCCACGTCGTCCACTATCACCATTATCTCGTCTCGACAGAAACACGGCACTCGCTGGCTTGCGGCTCGGCTTGGTGCTGCGCGGCTCGCTGGGCTCTGCGGGACGCGGCCGTCAGACAGGGTCCATCTATCTAGCGACGCTCTAGACACTCGCGCCGCGTCTCCAATCCGAATATTAATAGACGGCCCGCGACGCCACAGTACGCGCGACGCCCGCCAAACTAGAGAGCAGAGTCACCGCGGGGAGGGAGGGGAGGGGCAGGTCGCGGGGTCGAGAACAAGGGAAGCCGGCCGGCTGCGGGCTCGCCGTCGCAGTGTGGTCTCCGACGAGAGCAGCGCGAGGCCGCCCCGCTGCAGCCCCGGCGCCGCCATGGAGAACTACATCCAGATCAAGACGTGAGTACGCCGGGATGGAGGGCGCGGATTGACACGTTAGGGCCGCGAACGAGGCCGCCGTCAGGCGACTGTTGCTGGGCGGACGGCGGGCTTGCGTCATGCCCTGCACTTCGGCGTCGAAGGGCAAGGCCACTGGGCCGCTGCAGTAAATGAACAGCTCGGGTACGAGGAAGCAACGGACTTCTCATGCGCTGTGGCGCCCACTATAAAGGAGAGCTAAATTTTTGAATGTCCTCACACTCCCACTCGTTTGGACCAGGATAAAGATAAAGGGACCCTAGAACAAAAAGTTGAACGTGACAAGTTGGTCATCCTGCTCTAGAGGGCGCGCGCGGGGTGCCATCCCGAACGGCCGCGCGTCGCCGCCCTCCGCCACTAGCTGTAATGCTCCGCTTCCTCGGCAGGGAGGGCACCAAGATGATCGCCAGCGCCGCCGAGAGGAACAAGCAGCCCATCCTGCAGGCCCTGAAGCAGCACCTGCGGCCCGCGGCGACCGCCACCGGGTCCAGCCTGGTGCTGGAGGTGTCGTCGGGCACGGGGCAGCACGTGGCGTGCGCCGCGCCGCACTTCCCCGACCTCACCTTCCAGCCCTCCGAGTTCGACGAGGACATGTTCGACAGCATCAGGACCCACGTCAAGGTGAGCCGGGCCGTGCCGCTGCATGCGCGCCGTGCGGCCGGGCGAAGCGAAGCGTGCCTCTGCAATCCCGAGCAGCAGTGTTCGACGTTCGACTCCCGGCTCAGGTTTAATTCGCCTTGTTCTTGCAGGCGGGAGGCTTGACCAACGTCAGGGAGCCCTTGAAAGTGGACGCGTCGGCGCCCTTCTCGCAGTGGGCAGGCGGCAATCTCAAGGCCGGCTGTCTGGCCGCCATCATCAACATCAACATGATCCACATCTCCAGTAACAAAGCCGTGGAAGGTGAGCGATAAGTTTTGCCTTGGAATTCCCTTGTCGGAGCGACCAATTCACCCGCGCCCTGTTGGCAGGCCTGTTCACGGCGGCGGGCGCGCTCCTCGGCCCCGGCGGCCGTCTCCTGACCTACGGCCCCTACGCCAACGACGGCCTCATCACCCCGGAGTCCAACGTGCAGTTCGACAGGACGCTCCGCTCCCGCAACCCGGAGTGGGGGCTGCGCGACATCAGCCGCGACCTGGCGCCGCTGGCGGCCCGGAGCGGCCTCAGCCTCGCGCACACCGAGGACATGCCGGCCAACAACAAGTTCCTCGTGTGGCAGAAGGCGGCGTGAGCCGCTGCCTCATGCCTGCCTGTGCATTCCCGGGCTGTATTGCCCCGCGTGGAACACTGGGACACGCGGGGCCGATCTCAAAGTGGCTCAAACCTCATTTTATTATTTTTGTACTGTTCTACAATGTTCTGATTTGTCGCGATGATGCTTCTATGAAATTTATGACCTCGTAAAATAAATAATTTAATCGAGTTTGCATGATTTTTCCTCCACGAGTTACTAAACGGCGAATGCGATGACGGCGGCACTTCCGCCATGGCCGCTCGCGGGGCTTCCGAGCAACCTAAGGGGGCGGTGTGGCCCACACCGTGGGGCGCAGTGCCTTCGACCGTCTCTCTCTCTCGCACTCATAGTGGGTCTCGTGGAGCTGCGAGAGAGACAGCGACCGTTTGGAATGAGTCTACAGCGTGAGTAGCGCCGCGCGGGCGCCATGAGCGCCATGGAGTGGGAGGGGGAGGGGGGCGTCGCAAGGCGTCGCGAGTCCGGGGAGTCCGGGGGGTGGCCCATCGATTGAGCCCCCTTCGCCCCAGCTGGCCGCCCCAGCCGCCCCTGCCCCCCACCCGTTGCGCCCCCTCGAAGCCTCCGCGCCTCCGCGCCGTGAGGAGGGTAGGTCCGCAGGGGCGTGCGCATGTCGGTCGCCAGTAGGCTTCGCGCTTCGCGAGCCTCGCCAAGGCTTCGCCGCGTCGCCGCTTCGCCGTGCACGCGCGTGGCGTCGGGGGCGTTGGGGCCGTCGGGGTACTCGCTGGTGGTGCCCGCCTGCCGCGACATGACGGTCCTCACGCCCGTGCCCTGTCACGGCCAGGGCAGGCGCCGTCGCAGCCCCTGAGCACGGCGTCGACGCGAGGCCGCGCATCTTTCCGCCGCGGGTACTTGGACGCGCTGCTGGCACTGCTGGCACCTGTAACGCGCTGCCACTGTAGGTGTCGCGCGTGGCGTGGCGTGGCGGGACGTCCAGAGCCTCCGCGACGTCGGCGTGCTAATCACCACGGAGCCTCGGCCGCCGCCGCCGCCAGCCCCGCGCGGCGCCCTAGTCAGTACGAGCGCGCTAGCAGGCGTCGTTTCCGCCGTTGGCGCGTAGCCGCAGCTTTCTCGGGGCACCTGGCGAAGCGGCGCGCCGAGCACGGCCATGGCCATCTTCAAGTGCTGCTTCGAGCCCCAGCTCGGCGACTTCTTCGAGCCCGTCGTGCAGAAGTGCACCGACCCGGGCTGTAAGTACTGCTCGCCGTGCACTTGTTCCCTGTCCCTGCGTGTCGTGGCTCTCCCGACACATAGCGGTGTGCAGTGTACCTCCCAATCGTTGTGTCCTAGATACTCTACTTCTAGAGTTCCGACGCGGAATGCCTCGGTAACAATGCACGCGACAAGCGCAATAATGCCACTCATCGTGCCCCTCACGCCATCGCACCGAATGCCACGACACTCACTCAACTTACTGTTAAATTTCAACATCATTGTTCAGGCATTTCACCCTACATCACCTTATTTACTTTCACGCATTGATTGACATGTCAGGGGGAAATGTCAGACGAGTCAGCAAGAATTTACGACCGGCGTATTGGTGAGTGCGAGCGCGTGAAGATTGTCACCTGTCCCTGTCACTGTGCTGCGCGGCGCTGCGGCCTGATTCGAACCGAGCGCGCGAGAGCGGGGAGTCAGGGTTGCCAACACGAATAAAAATATGAGTTAAAGCTGTCAGGACCGAACGCATAAACATTGAGATGGGTTTCGGAGGAATGTATTGCGGGTCAAGAGTGTCGTCACTCATTTTCGATCAGTCAAAACAATGTTTTCAACGAATATATGGTTGATGTCTCTCAGGGCGTGTCAAAGTCAGGCTGCGCCGTGACTGACATCACGGCACCAGCAAGACAAGCAGTAATCAATGAACTTATGTCAAGCTCATCAGGGTTAAATCTCACTGACACATGGGCATTTTTAATTTAAAGAGTCAGGGACATAGTCTGCTATAGGTGTACAGCCTTTCAAGTGAATTTGTCGGTTGAAATCAGTTTACAAAGCCCGGCTGGCTGGGCAGACAGAAAGCTAACCTTTAATTTCCTTGCAAAGGTAGCAGAAAATGAGTCGAGGTAATAACAGCATGTATCAACATGTTTTGAATTTGCTAACGTAGATAGTGATCATGCCATTTTATGATATGTTACATCGACAAATTTGATCCGTTTGTGTTGTCAGTCCCATTTACTAGAATGGTAACATCAGGACACTGACTAGGCACAATTTTGGAAATCTGCTATTCTTGTCCTTGATTGTTTCCTTCTCGGGTTTTGGCCGGACATGGATTTTAAAAAAAATTAGAAGATTGATCATTTTATTTCAAACATTTTTCCTTTAATTTATCCAACTATAATTTTTTGCATGTCCTTTAACACAAACAACATTTGCACAGTGTGTGCAAGGACCATATAATGAATGAATTTTTAATGACTCAAGTTTTTTGTATCTTTTGTAGGTTGTTGCTGGTGCTGCTCGGCACTGAGGCCACGCTACAAAAGACTTGTTGACAACATTTTCCCCGTCAATCCTCAGGTAATATTTTAAATTATTTCATAACTCTTTCGAGCAATCTGGGCCGGATGCAGTACCTAACTGTAAAACTTTCTTTTCTTATTCTTTCAAAATTTTCAGGATGGACTCATTAAGAACAACATGGAAAAGCTCACGTTTTATGCTTTGTCATCTCCTGAAAAGCTGGATCGAATTGGAGAATATCTATACCAAAAAGCAGCAAGAGATATTTATCGGAGACGAAATGGGTAAGCATTTCACCAAATATGATATGGTGTAAATTTTTCAGAGGTTATAATGAGAATCCTATGTCTATTTTTATTGCAGGCTTGTTGTGATTGCAATGGAGGCGATGGATCAGCTTCTCCTTGCATGTCACGGTCCTACTTTGAATCTTTTTGTTGAGAGCTTTCTCAAAATGGTACAAAAACTGTTAGAGTCAACTGAACCTCAGTTGCAGATTCTTGCCACACAATCCGTAAGCTTTTATTTGCGAGAAATATTCATTTGTTTTGGATTTCCTTACATACCTTGCTAACTAATATTCTTGGTCATTTTAGTTTGTACGATTTGCAAACATTGAGGAAGACACACCATCTTACCATCGTCGGTATGACTTCTTCGTCTCCAAATTCTCAGCTATGTGCCACAGCAATCACACAAATAGAGAATGGTGTAATAAGATAAGACTAGCAGGAATACGTGGCTTGCAGGTACTACACTTTTATTTCGATGGTGGTGTTTATTACTAATGTTGAAATTTGGGATTTTATTTTGTTCTTACTTTTTCCTAGGGTGTTGTCAGGAAAACAGTTTCTGATGACTTGGTTGAAAATATTTGGGAACCAGTTCATATGGATAAAATCATGCCGTCCTTGTTGTACAATATGCAGAATACCAGGTAAGTGCATTTTTTCCTTCATCCTTTTAGAAGGATTTTTAACAAATCATGTATTGTGAATGTTTATTGTAATATTTCAGATATCCAGTCAGCCAACCAGACAGCCCAGCTCCACATGGTGAAGAAGATCGTCAGGATCCTCCAACTTTGGCTGAAACTTGCATGCGCGAATTAGTTGGGCGTGCATCATTTGGGCACATCAAAAGTGTTTTGAGGCCTGTTCTCAGGTAAGCACGTTTGAACTTTCCAGAGGAGTCTTGCTAGGTTTGTGTTCTTTTCATCCCAAGATAGTTATTAACATTATATTTTTTCCCATTTAGGCACTTAGACCTTCACAAACTGTGGGTGCCAAATGAATTTGCGATTCACAGCTTTAAAATCATCATGTTTTCTATTCAGGTAAATTGAAAGATTTATGCAATTTTTCTAGATCCTCTGCAAGTGTCTTCACTGTCACTAATTTGGCTTATTTTTCAGTCACAATACTCCTACACTGTGGTGGAAACACTTATGGCACACTTAGATGACAACTCTACTTCTAGTCCAGAAATTCGCACCAGCATTGCTGATGTCTTGTCAAAAATAATTGCAATAGCTGCGGGCGAGAGCGTTGGTAGGTGTTGTATTTTACTAAAAAAATATCAATAAAAACCCATAGTTAAAACATTTGGAAGTTCTCATCGAAAATAATGTTATTTCAGGTCCTTCCGTCTTGGAAATCATCAATTCTCTTTTGAATCACCTTCGAGTGTCTGTAAGCAAACTAGCAAAAGCAGAAGACTCAGCTCGCCACAAACTTGCAAGCAAGGAAGACTCAAACCATGAAAAACTGTATCAAGAAGCTTTGATCAATGCCTTGGGTGAATTTGCAAACCACCTCCCTGACTACCAAAAGATTGAAATAATGATGTTCATCATGTCAAAGGTCCCTCACTCAGAGCAAGAAGGCGATGTGCTTCTTCAAAGTATGCTTCTGAAATCTCTATTGAAAGTAAGTTCTTCTCAATTTCAAATGAAAATGAGATTAATCCTGGTCATAGTAATTAATTGTGAACAAATTACCGTTTTTTTAGGTTGGCACAAAGTACCAGACCATCCAGTTGAATCAAGCTTTCCCAGTAGTTTTCCTGGAACGGCTCCTAAGGATGAGTGGTGGACCCAATCCAGATATGCGACTCTTGGTCAACAAAATTCTTCACACATTATTAGATCGTCATCATAATTTGGACAAACTGCTGAAACCAACGTAAGACTAACAATTTTAAGGAATCCTAAATGTCATAAATACAAGGTTGTAGCACTGCATTACAAAATGTCATTCGTTATTTCAGGGTTGATGTGGATAGTTTGAAGCTTACAATTACCAAATCTTCTCGGTTGGATGCAATCTTTATCCGGAAGCATGGTGGTGACTTTTTCCTGACACTGTATGAAAGTCTGGAGCTTTCAAGCAATACAGTTGAGACTATTGAGGCAGCTTACACCACAACAGCTCTAATTTGTATTGAACTTGTTTGTGAAGAATCTGTTTGTGATCTACTCCGCCTTATTATGAGTATTCAAGTAGGTATCAAGACTCAGTTTTCTGTGTGACATCTCTCATATCTTTTTGTATTGTCTCCATTAACATTTCATCTCTTCAGGATCTTGCCTTGACCAGTTCAAAGTTGTCTCTGCATCAGAAATATCAACTGCATGCAATTGTAGCATCACTGCTGGTGCTCGTGCCTTATTGTGTGCCTTTGACAAGTCTTCAGTCTTATGCTGATAAGGTAAGCCACCTCTTACTTAATTTCTAGATTTATATTGAACTGAACCACTTTTTAAATGGTAAATTATCATTTTATTGTAATTAATTTTTCAGATAATTGCCACACGTATTGCCAAAGCTCCATATCTTCTTCCTCCTTTGTCAAGGGAGTATGAGTCAACTGTAGTTCCTGCAGGGGAAGTTCTCCTTGACCAGGCTCAAATTACCTCATGTCTTGCTGATGCAGGCCTTGATGCCACCCAGATTTCTCGGCCTCATGCAGGGAGTCTGCAACATCGACACTCTTGGGTAAGACCTTCTGCCTACCAGGTCAATTCTGCATGCCCACAAACTACCTATTTTTCCTCCCGGACAAAATAATTTTGAAAATTGATTTTGTATTGTTTATATTGTAGATATTGAGGGTGCTGATTGCCTTTTTTCTTGTTTTTTGGCAGGTGGACAGTGGCATGGGCGCTAGTTCTACCGAAATGAATATGGAAGTGGACAGCGTCTCATCATCTCCAGGAGTTGTGAAGGTGAAGGAAAGCTTTTGTTTTTCAATCTTAGATTATAATTACAAGTACCTCAAACTAACATTTGGTTCTTTTTCTTGCAGAAATTCCCTGAGGAGGAACTTACGTTTGAATCTCTGAAAAGAATCCTATCCCCTGAAAATGTGGAATCCAAAAAGGAAGCAGAAGAAGAGATGAGGCTCCGTCTGTTTGAAACTTATCGCAATGCACCTTTCACAGAACTGGTGCGACAAACTGAAGCAAGGGTAAATATCTTATCTTATTTCATCTCCCATGAAGTAAGGCTCTGTGAGCATGGTTTGGACTTGATTCTCTTCTTGTTTTAAGGGTGATGTTCTCAATGAGCGGCTGGATCAACTACTCAAAAAGCTGGCAGCTAAGCAAATCCCTCGTTACTTGTCGGAGCGAAGAGATGTTGAGCGAGAAAGGGATCGTGAAGAAGACCAACGATCTGAGGAAGACAGTGAAGAAGAGAGGGATCGCTTTGGCAGTCATTCTCCACATGGCCATAGCAGATCTCATAGTAGTGACAGAGAGATTCAGCTCCCTCCTGCACCTCAACCATTGTATGAGTCACTCTTCCCTGAGTTGTTTGTGTATTAGTTCAGTTCCTTTCACAAGTAGAATATGTAATGAATTTTAGAAGTAGATCAGAAGAAAATTAACAAAGAAACTTTTTCTTACATCACTTCTGAAATGTACAAAACACTCTGTTCTCTACCTGAATATACATTAAATATCACAGTTCAAACATAATATGTACAGCAATAATACTGGTACAAGTTGCTTTGTTATGAAAATGAGTTTTTGTAGAAGTTTTGTTGTTATTTCAGTATATTCTATACTGAACTCAGGATAGATATAATTTTTATAGTTAAATTACAGGAATGGAATAAACTTTATTTGTAAGACCATCCCATTTTGATAAACAAATTCTGTAGATACTACAACTTAATTAGATATGCCTGTTTAATTTCATGTGCTTATCTGAATGTGATTACATGTATTAATATTCAATCTCTTTGTTTCTGTACTCGGAGAGTATTTGTGGTGAACTTCTTCTATGGTTATATTTAAGTATTGTTCTAAGTACAGTGTGGAAGTTTCATCAACATTTCTTACATGAAATGTGGCTTTTTGAAGAGCATTTATGTATTGTTGATTGTTCAGAAATTTATGTGACAATAAGATATTGCATATAGTATTGTCTTAACAACTTGAACAGATGTTGTCACCAACAGCATATGCAAAGCAGCATATGTTAATGGTACATGTGTAAATAGTATTTTAATGTTGCTCTGGTTGGGATTTTCAAATTTTATCTTGTGTGTAAGTAAATGATGCCTGCCATCTATTTTATTTTGGCCTCTCTGCTTTTTAGTGTACGGTGAACAAAACATTTTACTAGCTCCTCTGGTTCAATCTTGAAGCTGTGATAAATGGATATGACAGAAGGTATGGATGATGTGACACAGAGAACTGGTGCTTTACCTCCTTTTAGAGAAAAGCAATCTTCAGCTCTCTACAAACTGTGAACATTTGTTATTTTTTTGTAAGTCTGTGTATCACATTCAAATTTCACTCAAATCCACATTTTTCAGATCTTTTTTCTTCTTACCCCTCTATTGAGACTATTAAATAGACTTGTTATTGATTTTGAGCATCTTTGTTTCAGTATTTATTTGCTAAACCCACATTGAGTATGTGACTCAAATAATTTTTATATTTTGAAGTAATCACTTGCAGAGGCTCTGCTAAACTCAAATTTTGGTTTACTGCTTGGAACTTGTTTATTATTCCATCTTTCTGTACCCTTTTGCCACTGCCATTCAGTTATTGTTCAATTTTGGAGAAATATTAAGTGCACCCATTCAGGATCTGTGCTTCAAACTTTGTCTTCTGTGATTTACTGCTAATGCTCATTTGAGTAACGACTTTAAAGAAACAATCCATTATAATGTTTGGTAATTGACTAGCATGTGTTTTGGATTATTATCGATCCTTGTACAATTATGGTAGACGTTTGAGTGGTTGCATGATTATGGTCAGGATGTGTTATTGTGAAGTGTTGTAAAAGATGAATAAATTTGGTTTTTTATATAAATCTATCAGTCTACTTCAGCTTGCCCTTCCAATTACGGTGGTAGCGTCAAGACACTAGACAGACACTCCCAGCGCAGATGCGGACCGCACTCATTTTTGAGCGAGTATTCCAGAGATACTCCCTGTCTGCAGGCCCCTTCTGCTCGCCTCCGTGTTTCAGTCGCGGAGTACTGCCGCACTGCCGCACTGCCGTTGCGGTGGTGCTCCGCTTGGCTTCGCTTCTGCTCGCCGCGGCCGGCGCTACCCCGCGCTTCAAAGACGCTTGTTACAAAATTGCTCGGGCCGGCCAATCAAAGATAATGAAAAAATGTGTGTTTTGGTGGCGTTCTAAAACTCTCCCTGGCCTCGTGCCGGACGAGAGCCCCGCCCCCCTCCCTGCCCCGGAATTAGGGATTTTTCGGCGTGCGCTGCCCAGAGGAACTTGGCAACTTCCTCGCAAGTTGTGCGGCGGGGCGGGGCGGGGCGGGGGAATTAAAACGCCAGGTTGTGGCCAGGCCAGGAGGGAAGGGCGGGGCGGTTAAAACTGTTTGCATCTGACCCGCGTAATCCCGCGGTGTGCCCGGACACCACGTTTGCTAAATCAGTTTTTACTCTGGCGCAATTTCATTTGCAAGGTTGGCAAGGCCGCACTAACAAGCTTGCCGGCGCCCTAATATCTCCGCCAGGCTGCCAGTGCCGCCAGCAGTCGTGCCGTAGTGCCCTGATATCTTCTCTTATTTCCTCTCTCTCTCTCTCTCTCTCTCTCTCTCTCTCTCTCTCTCTCTCTCTCTCTCTCTCTCTCTCTCTCTCTCTCTCTCTCTCTCCTTCTCTCCCTCTCTCAATTTCTACGCCAACTGGCAGTATTAATATGATTATGCTGGTTAGCAAGTGTGAAATGCACAGCAACAGCTGCCACCGCCTAGCTTAGTAGCAGAAAAAGGATAAAAAAAGAACAAAAGGAGAGGGACGGATTGGGCAGACCGGGCAGACGATGAACTCCAAATGGTGAAATTGTGTTTAGTGGGAGGGGTGGGTTTTATGAAGATGGCGCCACCATGCTGGCACCGTCGCCCCCTTTTAACTGGATCCCTCGCCGCGAGGACAGGGGAGGAGGGGTGGGGGTGGGGGAGCCCAATTCACCGTGTGGGCCCAACACGTCCCCTGCCAATAGCGCGGCGTGGCTAGGCCAGGCGTGGCGCGGCGCCCTGCACTTTACGGTGTCGCCACGTCCCACGGGCGGGGCGGGGCGGGGCGGGGCGGGGCGGGGCGCCGGCCGCGGTTAAACCGGATCGCGCACCTGCCAATTAAGTGTGGGAACGCAGAGGACTCCAGCGAGGGATGCCGCGGCCAGATAGCGCGATGGAGATACGGCATCGATTCCCCGAAGGAAGTAGTCGCATCCGCCAGTAAAGCAGCCGGGAGGTGGAGCAGCTCGGGGGTTGTTTCTCCAGACCGCCTCCTCCAGGCCACCGTCTCCAGGCGGTACGCCAGGCTGCCTCCTCCAGGCTGCGGCCTGCAGCCTCCAAGGGGCTGTGGGGTTGTGCCGTGGGGCTGTGGGGCCGTGGGGCTCGGCCGAGCGGGACTCGCTTCCCCTCGACTCCTTTTGACCAGGTGTGTACTTGGGTCGGCCATTACGGGGCAGCAGGTGGAGGCGCTCGACTCATTAAATCTCGCACGAGACCCTCCCCCGCCCCCTCCGCCTCCCCCTGCGTCCCCTCCGTCGCGGCTTCGCGTAAGAGCGCATTGTAATTCCACAAAACATTGAATAAAGTTTAAGTGAATATGCGGTCGCTTTGCACCTGAGGCCCCGGCGCGCCTCGGCGCCTCGGCGCCTCCTCCCCGAGGCGAGACCCAGAGACCCAAGCCCCGGCCCGGCGGCCCCGGCCCGGCCCTCCCCGACGGCGCCCTCCTTGCCGAGGAACTTGCTCACGCTTCAATGAAGCGTGATGATGTTGGGGTCGATCTTCCCTCTCGCAGGTAAGGAGCCGAGCCGCCGAGCCGGGCGGACCTCCACACCGTCGGCGTGGGCCGCGCGGGGCCGGGCGGGGCGGCCTAACCCCCTAACTGGAAATTGTTGAATTGGCTCTCGCCTGCTCGGGTCCAGGCCCAGGAACCAGGAGGTCCGTGTCCGTGCGAGTCAGCCCGGCCGGTCCGCCAATAGCCGCCCAGGTGTGGTGGGCAGGGCAGCCTAGCCCGGCGTGCTGGCGAGTTCCGCGGGCCGGGCCGCCTAAGCTGGCGGGGGCTCAGCGGAGGGAGCGCGGGGGCGGGGCGCGCGGCCAGCAAAGCCAGCTGTGTGGACACGGCTCTCTTTTGCCGCGGCCTTTCTTGTCGGCGTGTGACCGCCCGGCCTCCCACGTCCACCTGTCTGTCTGTCTGTCTGTCTGTCCGTCTGTCTGTCTGTCTGTCTGTCTGTCTGTGCGTCTGTCTGTCTGTCTGTCTGTCTATCTATCCATCTGTGCGTCTGTCTGTCTGTCTGTCTGTGTGCCTGCCCGTCTGTGCGCCTCCTAAGAGCTACCCCCAGGCTTTTTGCGCTAGAGCGCGGGGGGCTCGTTGGGATGAATAATGCAAGTAAAATATGTGTTAACATCGGGGCACTTGATGCGGCAGTTTGTTAAGCTTAATCGGCCTCTAATTTCACGAGCGACGTTAGCGGTGGGGTTGGGGCGGGGGGAAAAGGGAGGGGGGGCGGCTTGATCGGATGCTGCAGATAGAGTGGTGGTGTGGTTTGTGGGAGGGGGACACGGGGGGCACATGCACAGGGACAAAGGCCAGCGAGCGGTCAATCTGCGGCCGTTTCGCCGAATGGTGCAGCTGGCAGCGCGGCTGCGTGGCTGACGAGGCGAGGTCGAGCGCCCTGGGCCGACCCGCCACGCAGGCGCGTCCGGCGGGCGGGCCTACCGAGCCGGGCGGTCCCGTAACCCGGCCGAGAACGCCGGGGAAACCTGGTCAGTAAACACACACAGACACACACACACGAACAACGCACACAGCAATAACTCACGTTGGCTCGTCCAGCACGGACGGCGTAGAAGAGGCGGCGAAAATAGAAATAATCCGCAAGCGAGAGAAACGGCGTGGTGAAATAGAGTGCGTACCCAACCTGTAAGCTACTGAAAAGACCGAGGGAAAGACGCAGTTCTTTCTGATCACCCAACGGAGACACACACGAAGTGCCCGGCCGTGCTTCCCTGCGGCCAGGCTCGGCCAGGCTCGCCTCGGCCCGGCCCCCCAGCAGGATCGTGCGAACCTCTATTATCTGCAGCTGAGTCAGTGGCAGAGAGGCTTTCGTATAAATATTGCCCCCAAAACGGTTTTCAGCTCATCTGTCGCGGGGGAGGGGGAGGGGGGCTGTGTGCGCAGGGCGGCAGGGCAGCAGGGCCGCTTTACCTCCCGGCAACGAGGACGAGGCGCTGAGCCAGCGAGCATTTAACTAACAGGCGGGCCGACGGCCGACGGGGAGGGGGGAGGGGCGCCGCCAATTTCATAAACACATTTTTCGCCGCCGCTAAAAGCGCACCCAGACGGACGGACGCATATTGTTTCTCGCGCCAAATTATTTTTTGAGCGCGAAACCTTTGCGCCTGCGGAGCGGGCCGCCGCGCGGGCTGCAAGACGACGGTGGTGCCCTCGGCTGCGTCAAGATGGCGGCGCTTGGCTCGACTCGGCTGCGGCCGCCGCGGTGCAGTATTTACTAGACCACCGCAGGCCAGCCGGGATGAGACAACCTGCCTGGCTGCCTGCCTGACTGCCTGCCTGGCTGCCTGCCTGCCTGCCTGCCTATGGCGTTGGCCTCGTTTGCTTGCACAATCTTGTGGCACTGCACACATAAAGGTGCTGACGGGCTGCTTCGGCCGGAGTGGCGAGGCTGCGAGGGCGAGGTGGCACCCCATGGCGGCCATGCGCCGCCGGGGGCCTCGCCGAGGGGGAGGGGAGGGGGCGGCCCTAAACTGGCCGTTCATTATGAATATAGACGGGTAATCAGACGACGTGGGCCCGGCCGGCCCGGGGCGGGGCGGGGCGGGGCGGGGCGGGGATTGGGGCGGAGGGCCGCACTGACCGCGTCCCGCACCTCGGGGTGGCGGGGCGGGGGTATTATCAGCAACTCGAATGGTAGCAGCAGCCTGACAGCGTCCGGACGAGCTCCGCCGGAAAGAGGGTGCGGCGTGGCAGGGCGTGGCAGGGCGTAGCCGGTGCCCCGATATGCATGACTGCTTCTCTCTCAAAACCTTGCAAACTATGTCGAGGCATTGCCAAGAAAATGGTTGTCATTTACAAATTATTTTTGTACTTCGTGCCTTCCATGCTCCGTGGTACTTGGTTCGATTTCCGCCGGGCTCCTCGTGCCTACCCTTCCGCCCTTCGCTCGGCGCTTCGAGGTTCGGTCCGCAGTAAATCGCCACCTGCACCCGTTTCCGTGAAATCGTAATGGCGGAGCGGCGGAGCGCTGCAGCCCGAAGCTGGTTCTCGCGCAGTTATTTGTTTCTTCCTCTCGCGCCCATTCACGGTGCAGCAAGACGGCGCCGTATTCATTGAGCCAATCACAGCGCAGAACGCCCTAGCGCGCTCTCCCTCACACCCCGCCC